TTGAACATCTTCAGGATGTGATCACCTAGTATGCATCAAAAATCCAGCACAAGTAATCTCCCTCAGGCATTCTCTTTACATCGCAACACTTCCCCTACGGCAACCGAAACCAGGCTGTGCACAGACAAGCCGAGTTAATGTATGCCAGGCCTCTGTGCCTCAGCCTCAGGGAGAGACACACACCATCTAGATGAGTAAATTAGATAAAAAGAAGATGAAAGAAAGAAAACAAATCAGAGGCCGAGGTGGGAGGAGGAGGGTCAGAGAGAATGACAGTTAGGTGTGATTTTTTTTCTCTATTGCATTTGCACAAACACACACCCATAAACCAGTGAATGGGGGAGAGGGGGCATAAAAAAGAAGTGAAAATGAACTAAGGGGTGAGAAAATAGAATCTAATTTGTAGTGTTTGTTAGTAAGAGACAGACTGAGGGAGAGATGGAGGGTGTGAGGGAGAGCAGCCAAATGACAGAGGCGTGTTTGTGTTCTGATTAGGCTGAGCCAAATGGAGGCGGCTCACCAATGGAGATAACCAACAAAGACATCCCTTCACTGGGGACAAATCTATGAACATCTTTTCACGGTCAATAGACGGGGCCATTCTTTTGTTTTGATGAGGGGGAGAAAAATCAGAGCTTGGTGGATCCACGAATGCAACACAAAGTTTACGTTCATCTTCTCCTGGATGAATCAGAACTGTTTTTTAGAGACATGAAAGTGTGCATTTTATCATTCTGTATGCTCAAGAGAGCCGCAACTTAGCTAGGTTATGATTATGTTCTTATGAACAGATTTTTTTTAATGTTTCTCCACTCTCACCCTGGCTGCCAAGATATGATGCACTCAAGCTGAATAAACAATGATGTGGGTTCTTCAGGCTAACGTAGGCTTCCTGGCATGGGTGTGCCTGCACCCTGTTTGATTTCTCATCTGTATGGTTGGCGACAGTGAATAGATCAGATCCATCCAGAGCGAGGTTCTCTCTCTGGCAGGAAAATAAGGCTGGAATACAGCCAGGGTTGCCAGGCAAGGAGAAACTTCAGAAGTGATAGTTTCTTTGATGAGGTCACTGTCTGTCTGTCTCTCTATTTATCTATCTATGTCTATTTATGTATACAAGTTTCACTCTATATAATTATGCCATGTTTTGTGGTCCATCTGTCTGTCTGTCTGTCTGTGTGTCTGTCTGTCTGTCCGTCTGTCCGTCCGTCCGTCTGTCCGTCCGTTTGTCTGCCTGTCTGTCTGTCTGTCTGTCTGTCTGTCTGTCTGTCCGTCCGTCCGTCCGTGTCTGTCTGTCTGTCTGTCTGTCTGTCTGTCCGTCCGTGTCCGTCCGTCTGTCTGTCTGTCTGTCTGTCTGTGTCCGTCCGTTGGTCGGTCGGTCGGTCGGTCCGTCTGTCCGTCCGTGTCCGTCCGTCTGTCTGTCTGTCTGTGTCCGTCCGTTGGTCGGTCGGTCCGTCGGTCCGTCTGTCTGTCCGTCCGTTCGTCTGTCCGTCGGTCGGTCGGTCGGTTGGTCGTCCGTCCGTCCGTCCGTCCGTCCGTCTGTCTGTCTGTCTATTTATCTATCTAATATGTCGATTTATTTTTTCTCCTTTTGGGCCTGCCGGTCTGTCTGTCTCTAACACATATCAACAAAAACATTCACTAAACTTAATCAGGCACTGCCAGGGGCAAAAGAGAGAAAAAAACACAGCCACCCTTGGGAAACAAAATTTAAAGGATAGTCTTTCCCTGCTTTGAAAGATTCCATCCTTGGTGTCGGTCAAACCAAAGGCAAAGCATGTGGTTATTTCTCTGTAAATTAAAAATGTACGTGTTTCTCCACACTCAATTCCCAGACATCTAATTACAACATTGAAAGAGAAAACAAGTGACTCCCGGTATGAGAGGTCAAAAAACCAAAGATGATATGTTACAGGAAATGTGACTTCTCAGAATGATGAGAAGAATGTGATTTGTTTGAGTACTCACTTTAGTGTAGTTCACTTTACATGCAGTGTATTTGTTGTTGCTTTATTCCTATATCTGTTAGTCTGGTTTTTTCATGTTGGACTGTAAAGCCCTTCGGCTTGCCTTGCCCAAAAACAGGAGTTTCAGGTTTTAAACAAAATCTCTGCATTGACATCATGGCTTTGCAGTCAGATTTCACTGGAAAACTACACCACCTTTACTTCATTGTCCACCATTAAAACAAGATGATCATGTTACCCCTGCTTAGATTACGTCACCTCTAACCCAACACTATTGACAACCTTTTCTTGTTTGAGAATGATAATGCTTGTACACAGACTGAACCCTGTAATCACAGAGTTTCACAGTCATTGGAACTGGTAGTTTTGAGAGAGTGAACAGAGCGGAGCAAATGATACCACAGTGGGCAAATCAGTCCCGGTCTGGAAATTCCTGCCCAATTGTTTATGTTCTGCAAGAGCAGTAGGGAATGGGAACAACGGTAATGTTGTAATCACAGAGACAATAGTGGTTCTGTGTCTAAAACAAAGTGTATGACTGGCCAGCTGATGCCCAGAAATTCTTATGATTTATGCTGTGACCTCCAAATGATGCTGAGTGGACTTGTAAACAGGCACGCAGAATTAGAGCCAGAGACGATTAAACCTCTCCCTATGTGTGAAAACACAAGTGACCCTACCATGGGTGTGTGAGGGGTCACTGCACAGAGGAGAAATTGAGATGGAAAGAAAAGAGTGGGAGAGAGAGATAGATGGAGAGACAGTGGGAGAGAGAGATAGATGGAGTGAGAGGTAAGGGAGGAGGGTGTAGACGGAGATGAAGTTAGAAGGAGACATAGATGTTTGTTTCTTCCGATGGCCTGTTCTGCCCTAATGGACCAGGTCGCCACAGGCCAGCCACAGGGCAACACGGACCTCTCCTGGTTTGACTCTATGAAGATTGATAGCTCCCTACAGACTTCAGATCAGCGCTGCAGATAGTGATGTGTCCCATGTGGCTCCATTTCCAGTCAGACGTAACATGTTAAATGGTGGCTGACCTCCAAGTTTTCTTTTTTTGTCAGCCTTCACTCTTATTGTTAAGACTTGAATCTATTTCTGATGCCTGGATTGAGCCATATGGTTTTTCTGTTTACCAATTTGTGATACTATTCAGACATAGATAATGGGTAACAAGGGAAGTAATAACAGAAACAGACAAGTGGAGCCTGCTTTTGATCCAACCTGACCTGAGATCAGGCTGAAGCACCCCGTCTAGACATTCAGCACCACTTGATGCCAGCATCCCACAGCATCCATATCTCTCTCTCTCTTTCTTTTGTGCCTCTTGGGTTTTTCACACACACAATCTCTTATTTTTTATTTCTCTTCTTTTCACACTTTTCTAACCTCTGCTGCCTACTTTTGTTTCTGATCTCTGAACTGTCTCATTGCTGTCTGAGTCAGCCTGAGGTGTTTTCCTCTGGTGTTGATGACAGTGAAGGGAGGATAAAGTGAAATGGCTGAACCAGCAATGACCCTGAAACCTTTGAGGGTGGACACATTGCAAAGAAATGTATCATAATAACATGCCACAGATAACTATTGAGGTTCCCCTTTTTCCCTTTTCTCAAGTCATACACTGTTATCAGTACACATAAAGGGTGCATGTAGACAGAGTCTAAGCATGTTTAGTGGCTCAGTAATTGTGACAGGCCTACAATTTAGGGAAGCCCTAACAATGTTACGCTGCCCTCATTATACTGCAATTGTGTTCTTGATTGTGAAACAAAGGTATACAACAATGGTTTGATAAGACCTCTTGTTTAATGAGACTTTGCTGTAACTCCTGTGTTCATTCAATTAGTAAACAGGTCTCCCATTCAGGTCTGGGCACCCCAATTCTAATTTTCCCAAAAACGACACACACACACACACCCCCACACCTCAGTGCCCCAAAGCGCCCTCCACCCCCTGCCCTTAGCCTTCAGCGTCCCACATTGGGTCTTGGCATCCCCCTGAACATTCGGGACAAACAGACTGCTCCCCTAACCTTCTCGGATCCTCTACCTCCCTTCCCCTCCACCCCTGCACACACACCCATTTGATTGTGATTGACAGCGTCTTTGTTCCATTGTACGGAGCTGTCGCCTCTGATGAAGACACATATACAGAGCTGAGGCGCTGTGCTCATTGTACACTGCACAGAAACTACAGGTCTGCAACCAGTTGCACTGTCCTCTGATAATGAGCTCCATGCAGTTGGACAGGGTGACTGTAAGCTGCCTGTACACAGCAGAGCATGTCAGGATGAGGTGGGACAGGATGTGTGTGCAGACTGTACCAACCCTACAGGGCTAAGCAATCCAGGCCAGATCGTAGGCTACTCCCAGAGTGGACCAGGGGGTCCAGGCTTGATGGGCTGAGGGGGCCAGCTGGAGCAGGGCTGCGCAATGTGTCTGAGGAGGCCGTCATTAGGGTTCACCCCTCCTCAGGGATGGGAACCAGGTCACATTCTCTCACACGGCACAAAGCAGGGTGTGTATGCGAGAGGGTTGGGGGTTCAAGGGAGGGGTTTTGATGGGGAGCAGGCCATGACCTCTTTATATCCATCAACAGATCACTAACTTGGCCCATAGACACGTTCATACAAGACACACACACACACGTACACGCAAATACACAGACGCACACACACACACACACACACACACACACACACACACACACACAGATGCACAAACACACGCATGCACACTTGTGTTAGTGCGAGTGCACAGACATGCACCCTCGTGCAATAAAAAGATGCTCTGCTTGTTTACCTGGATACAGTCCATACAGCTTTAAAATCTCTGTAAACTGGAATACAGATGTATATTCTACAATGAATAGAAATTATTTTGATAAATTATCATCAAAGTTATCAGTATGGTCTGATGTTGACTATTAAATTACATTAATATATTATAGCCCATTTTTTCATATCAAAGGAATAAAACAAATTGTCCCCCAAAATTGGTGAGTGTCTGCCACAATATGCAACCACCAGGCCTGAACATTTCACTTTTTAATTATATAACATTTGTTTATCTCTGGAAAATGAAAACAAATTCCTTTACACTTAAGCTTCGTCTCCGCTTGCTGCTAAAGCCACATATTGGCTGCAAGGGAAAGACTGTGAAGCATTGCCCCCTCTTGGTACCAAAGAGGTCTTGCAGTCAAAAGACAAACCCTCAGAGCTTTATTTGGCATCTGCAAGCATGCACGGTCACATTTTATAATTGGGAATCCTAAAAACCAAAAGCATACCTTTGAGGGTAAATCAGAGTTCTGTTTATTTCTAAATCACGATGCTAGATTTAAAATATCTGACCAAACCCTTCACAAAATCTTTAAAACAAAAAAAACATTCAGTTTATCAAAAGATTAAAAATATGATTGAACAGCAGTTATGACCACGAGATCACTATGTTAAGGCAAACATGAAAATAAGGGTACAACACATTTAAGGCAGATATATTCATTCCTTCTCTGTCATATACGTTTGAACTCTGTCATGCCAGAGTTTTCTGTAATCTAGGCTACAAGTCAATATTTCTCTATCATTTTTTCTCTCTGTAACTGAGTTCATTTTGTGCTTTGATCTGTCACTGGTCAGGTCATCATGTCCTATATTTGTGTTCTACTGGAACAATATACACATAAACCCACCTTTATTATATTTGTTCAGTTCCTCCCATAAAGCAATGACACAGCCTTTGCTTTATAATATGTATGTACAATAATCCACTGTAGATATTGCTTGTATTTCTGTGTTTGTATGTGAAGTGTGTACTTGAGGTCGTTCTGCATACAATATCTCTGTGCAATTGTGCATGTTTTCTAGCGAAGCTTATCATGGTACTGTTTCCTCCACTCCCCAGGGTTACTGGATCTACTCTACCTGCCGAGCCAAAAACCTCAGGAAAACGGGTAGGGTCAATGAACTGGTAGGGTAAGGGTAAGGGGCAGCATTTGGACACCTTCTTCAGTTAGGTGAGATGGTGCGTCTGCGCAGGCAGCTGCATGTCAGGCACTTGAGGATGCTCATGGTGATGTGCATGAGAGGGCCGAAATTGAAGAGAAGGTTGTAGAAGGTGTTGACAGACAGGCCACCGGTCTCATCTGCATACTTGAGGGCCACAATGGGTGTGTAGAGGTTGTTGGTCAGATTCCTGAAGCGAGGACTGCTTGACTCAATAACCTTTTTAGTGCACTGCAGAGATGAGAGGCAAAATGTTCAATTCTTTAAAGGCTGTTTTTTTGTTTGTATAGTTGAGTGGTTAGAGAAAATAACACTGATTTAGAATTCTATCATAAGTTCATTAAACTGTGAGTTGTAACTTACTTTGGCTATGTCCTCTGGCGTCTGGCCCATGGCTTCAAATATGTCTATGGACGATGGCAGGTAAACGTCTTTAAAGTAACGAACTGTGTCAGCATCTGCTCCTGGATACTCCATCTTAGCCACATCCTCCATCATCTTTGTCTCAAACTCAGTGTGTACGGGGCCAGGCTCGATCATGGACAACCTGAGGGCAGTGAGATGAAGAAAAGGCCCGTGATAAGTTAGCATGTACACTACAAAGTAAAGACAGATGTGAAGGAAGAACAGAGGAAAGAGGGTAATCTACCGGATATTGAACTTCATCAGCTGCACCGCCATACTCTCACAGAAACCCTCCATGGCAAACTTGGAAGCAGTGTAAACATCGTTGAACACCACTCCTGAACCAACCAAACAGAAAGGTAAAGGTCATCCTCCTGCATTGTATTATCACATTTCACTGTATTCAGCTACCTCAAACTAATTTGCACATAAGGCAACTTGAATCATAGGAGGAAACCTGACAGAATATGTGATTTAATTCACTTTATTTTTGCATGTTTTACAACTTAGCAGACTTCAATTTGTTCTGGTCAAACCCTGCCCGTCTGGCACTTCAAAGACGTCTAAACAAACACTAAAAACTTTGCATCCGCTTGTTATTTGACTTAAGACCAGCTGACCTTTATTGGAACTTAAGACATACATCAACGTAGTCAACAATGAAACTAAAGTTTAGCCTTTCATTATGGAAATATATCAGATTTAACATGTAACTTTCACCTAAAAGAAATACTGCGCGCTAGCTAGTGTTGTGTTACTCGAAATCGGTCTTGGTCTAAAGGCCGGTCCTGAGACTCCTTTTTGAAGGTCTCGGTCTAATCTCCGAATTGAAAGCATTTTTACTCTGTGTTGTCTTGACTACAACATTAGCGCTAGCATTGTCTGCAGTACTTTAGGAGTTATACATTTTAGCAGACTACATAACAAAACAATAAATCTACTATTGTTCATTTAATGAGTCAAAGAAATCTGTTTTCTATTATGAATTACTTTTAAGTATAATAATGAATGTTTCAGTGACAATAACATTGATTTGTATAATAATGCAAAAAATTGATCAATCTTAACGGGATTTCAAATTTGATTCGGTTTTTATGAATTTGCACATATCATACCCTGAAGGCCCATGACACTACTCATGACCACAATGTGTCCTGAACGCCTCTTCTTCATGTCTGGCATGACTTCTTTTATCATGCGAACAACTCCAAAGAAGTTGGTCTCAAAAACTCGTTTCATCTCCTCGATGCTGATGCTTTCCACAGGACCCAGCAGGCCCACACCTGCATTGTTGACTGGCAGGACACACACAGATAACATTCGTTATGAATTGGTGGACAAATAAAGATTGATTGATTGACAGAGACAGGGAGAGGACACACTGATTGTACATCAACAAAGCAGACTGTTTTTTTTTCATATGAGAGATGATGTCTGTATTGTTTGCTTTCTTCTCTTGGTGTTTCTACAAAAATTTATCTGTCCATGTCTCCCAGATGGGATTACTTGATGTTGCCACCAGATGGCAGTGTGCGACAACAACACAGAGGTGTGATGTAACACCAGGCCATGTTAAAGGGCCTCTGAGTCTGCAGTTATAAGGTGAAGGGGGATATAAAGTTGTATTTAGTAAAACAGAGGCAGGTTTATAAATAGAACCTTTATCCAGATTGGAGGTTTAATACAGGAACTGAAAAGAATGACCTGTTCACGAGTTCATTATCCAGCAACAAACTATTGACCTTTGTCACACATAATTTTGATACTGTTGCTCTGGAGGAAGAGTTGATGGAGTTTTACACAAATCCCACACACAAAGAAGAAGTTGAATAAGGCAATAAACTATTACCAATTACTGTAACTAAGTCTTTATACAGTCACTTTTTAAATGTATGACTGTAGACACAACACACATTTATACACACGTGTTTATCCAAAAAGAGGGGAGTTAAAGAAAGCATGTCATACAAAGCAGAGAAAAAGGGGTCAAATGTCCCACTCACTCAGGATATCGATATGGCGGTCCTTCACATTGTTGATGCACTGCTTGACAGACTCGTCACTGCACACGTCGAGCGGGAGCAACATCATGGTCTTTCCGTATACATCTCCTGCTGCCTCCACTAACTTGTCCTTCTTCTTCAGGTCTCTCATAGTGGCGATGACTGGGGGGGGGGGGGAAATGTTATTGGAATACTACTCTACTTTATGAAAATAAACCCTTAGTCATTACTGAAAATGGTTAAACTGTTGGACTACACAATTTGGAGCAAGAGCTGCAGAGCACATCGAGAACTTCAAATCATCTGAATAAAGGTAGATTTTTAAGGAGCACAGATGGCTTCCCGGATAGCTTGCACCACATGAACAGAGGCTACAGTCCTCTGTGCAGGCGGCCTGGGTTCAAGTCTGACCTGTGGCTCCTTCCCCTCATGTCATTCTCATCTCTTTCTCCCCGGATTCCTGCTCTATTCACTGTCCTATTAAATAAAGGTAGATTTTTATTTTTGTTTATTTTTGTAAACTTTCAGTTTTTTCGAGTTCTATCCTTTGATTAAGAAATAAACAAGAAAGAAAGAAAGAAAATCAGGAATCAATCATCTTCTGTGAGCTGACAAAGGAAAAAAAAAAGTTTGGAACCTTTGTTAAACTGATAAAGTTACAAGCAGAACCAAGAAACCTCTGATCTTTGAGGACACCACCTCCTCCTTATCACACACACGCATGCACGCACGCACACACACACACACACACACACACAGAGTTGTGTCAGCGGGTCAAAGTTCTTAGCACTGACCACGCCTGTCAGTTTACAGCACAGGACAAAGAATTGATTTCCCTGGGCAACATTAACCTACATACAGGAATCTATCACGCTCTGTGACAGCAGCTATCAGCACAGTGTTGTTGACTGGGCTTCCGTGGCTTGCTCCATGGTGTGTGTTTTGCCAACACTTTGCTGACTGATGTTATCTAGCAGGGAAAAGGAAGACAGTGCTCTTGCACAATGGCAATCAGTAGGAGTAAACAACTTCATATTCACACATCCATATGAATCTACCTGTTGTCCTTGACACATACTGGAACAAAGACCAGGTTACAGAAGGAATATTAAAGGAGGGTTTTATGCTGCTATGCAATGTTGCAGATCAAACATTTATGATTTTTTTTTTTAGAGAGAGAATATCAGAGTCCCACAGCTTGTCTTTGCAAGTAGGCAAACACGCTAAACACATCAGTGATGTCTCAAGAAGTGTAATTAATCCTAATCTTCTGATTAGAGTTGTGTGTGTCCACAAAGCAAAAGAGAGATTTATGCATTGGTAGAGAAGTGAACAAAAGATCCATTGTTCTCTTGGCTCCTACAGGAATAACTCTTGGGCCGCTTAAACATTCTTGAATGAATCACATTCAAGAATGGGGGTCTTTTTTTGGGGGGGAGGTCTCTGGGTTTGTTGCATGTCGTTGCAGCTCATTATTCCTTCATGCAAGATGCAATATTTAATCTCATTTGGATTTTCTAGAGATTTATGGGAAAGGACAGATCAGCTTAATTGCTCAGTGTGGCCTTATTAACAAACAGGTCACATTGAGAGAAAAATAAAGCTGCTCAAACCAGCGTTGAGATTTGTTCTCTACTCATCATTTGATGGTAATAAATCCTTTGAATTCCTGGTGACCCCCGAAGAAAGAGTTAACAAACAAATGTTATCTTTAAAAAACACAATCTAACTCTTGCACAGTGGTGTCTTAATTAGTTAACAGCATGAAATACTTAACATACCCCAATAAGGGTGTCAGGTTACCACAATCACAAGTTTAGCTAATAACTCACTCACTGTATGCAAAAGTCAATTATGTAATTCTGCATTAAGTCACACAGAGGGGGGTCTTGAAGGCAAACTCTTATCCGCAGGGGTAGGGGTGTAAAGGTGGTCTAATGTAATTCTGTGTGAGGCTCCATGACATGCCTTTGGATGTCCAATTCCAACAATGACATTAATGATGGCTGGGAAGCAGGAGAGGAGACGCACGGATCAACAATGTCAAAGTGGGACACCCTAACTCCAATGTGCACCAATGAAGACTTCAAAACAAGGCCCTTGCTTTAGAGTGAACCCTCACTTGTACAGGTCTCAAACTTTGTCCCCCTTTCAACACTCGCCCCAGTGAGGGGACTATAGGCACATTAGACACGGCACTAAACCGGAGCAGGCGGTCTACAATTCACAGCGATAAAAGGGGGCTTTGTGTAGGAGAAGTCACTTGAAAGAGAACTGACAAGACTCCTTTATGATTCCGCCTGGCAAGCGGTATCCTTGCAGAGCCCTACCCTGGAAACTGCACTTTCAGATGATAATAGTTGAGCCAAAGGGGCGACTGAATCCCAGTCCTTACAAAAGGATATAGATCCGATATTAGGCTGCAAGGCTTAGTTGTTACAATTGACATAACTCTAAGTCGCTTACATTGGTGAAACTCGAAGTGAGTTGCGCATAAAACTCAACCGAACTTTGTGCGTAAAGGAGAATGGGTGCAATAGACGAGCTTTGCAGGGAAAAGTAAACACGGAATTGGTTTTCAAGAGACCCACACTATTACAGGCTTGCAACTAATAGGTCCGATCAAGGAAAGAATGTAGAAGAAAGCGCATTTACCATGGTAACGCTTCTTTTCATCTTTGGCCAGCGTGACGGCGATTCGTAACCCGATGCCGGAGGAGCAGCCGGTGATCAGAACAACTTTCTGCCCGCTGTTCGCCATGATTTGTCGGAGTACGCGCTGTGTTTTTCAGCGGTCCTCTGCTCCGGATGGTCGCTGCTGAGGGAGCTACCGATCACCGGACTTTAAAAGAACTAAATCGGATCATGCAGCCACCGCAGCCATGTGAGCGTCTAATTCAGTCACATGTTCGATAAAATCAGCAACCAAAAAAACAGACGTGGCATACAAACACCACTTGCTGACAAGATTATGAACTTCATGGGCACCGCCTGCCCTGAAAAAGAACTTTATTCCTTTAAAATATGTTTGGCCGTGCATGCGCGCACGTGCGTGTTGTGGAGGGGGCAGTGCTTACTTGATTTCTGGGTTGGTGACCCTGACATGTAATAAATAACTGTAATATCGTAAAGTGTGAATGACATAATGATCATACGATAGTCCTGGTTAAGTGCCATATCAAAGTATTGAAATATGTGTACATTAGTCATTATTTTACAATGATATTGTTTACACCAAAGTTTACATTTTTAAAACGAAGGACTTAAATAAAACAAAACAAAAACAAATTGTACTTAACTTGGATGTGTAATTATTATTATTAGGTCTGATATTATTATTTGAATTATTATTATTAATATTATTTTTATTATGCAATTTGTTATTGTCTGGATTAAAGGCAAATGTATCGCTTGGATTGGACTCAAATTGATATAGGTAATCAAAAACAATGGAAATCCCATTCTCACATTTCTTTGGGAAGAAGTCTTTCACGTAATGCGCTGCATTGTGCTGCCATCTGCCGGTTAGAAAAAGCAGCACGCTAAGAAACCGGCTTACTCAATGTTTGGTACCTCATCAAATTAAATCACTTAAATCAAAAATATAAACCTGAAAAAGAAGCTTAGAGAAATAGTGTGCGGCTCCTTTACGTTACTCAAATATTTAAAACAAATATATATCCTGCCATGAGTAAGGTGACAGTTTTGGTGTTTAGAGGACTCTGTTGTTGACAGATATGTAAAGGGTCAAAGTTCCTCTGATAAAATCTCAAAAATAGACCTACTTCTTTTCTCTGATAACAGGCCAGAGTGCAAGAGTCACAGTCTGCCCTGTTTAGGCCTGTTTGCTAATGTGATGCAACCTCATGCAAGCTGTGAAAGGTTTGGAAGAAGGCTGCAAATATGACTATATCCATTTACTCCAACCCTGTTACTCAAGCACAGATGATTGGATATAAAGGTATTAAAGGGTAGTTCCACAGATTACATCACTTCTTGGTATATGTCTCCAGGTTTTTCTCTCTGAGCTCATGAAACCTGTATGAACCTCAACATGAGGGTCTTATTTGTTTACTTTCTGGTCCAAAGCATTTCTATTATTCCAAAAAAATTGCAAGTACCCTCCTGTCCACATCCTATATGATCATATATGAGTAAGTATGTTTTTTGAGACAAGACACATTTGAAGACAAAAAAATGTGGGGAGAAAAATTTGGAGATGGCATGCACCAAATAGTCTAACCTCTTGTGTGTAAGGAGGACTGTAGCCTCTGTATACGGGTAACATGCTCTACAAACTGATCAAAACTGGCAACCCCTCCTTATTAACCCCTTTCACCATATTCCCATTTAATCATGTTAACACAGTGTGAAGCATAAAGGTCACTATAAGGACAAGTCAAGAGACGAGGTTTAGAAAGAAGTCACAAACAAACACACTAACAGACCAGCAGAGGGAACATTTTTCTTGTCTTTTCACTCCCCTGTGGGTAACTTATGGACAGGCCTCCATCGTCAAGTGCAGCTATTCATTCCCATCTTAACTTTGAAAGTAGAGATTCACCCATAGGGAAGACATATTTTAACGACAAGTGGAATCTTGACCTGAAGAGTCGAAGGTCAGCCAGAAACCAGCAGGCTGATCATTTGACAGGTTCAACTTGAGAGTGAAAACAATCAATCTGTGCTTTCTAAACTCAATATATGAGAATACACAGTGAAAACTGTGTTTTTCACTCTGGTTTAATCACGACTAATGGTGACAGACTGTTTATTATGCTGCCAACACAGAGTAGACTGTCAGCTTACATAGAGTTCAGGCCTAATTTCCTCCTGTCGTCTCACAGAGCTGATGTCTGCTTATTTAAAAACATCCCTAAGCCATGACCCATTTTCTCTCTGGAAAGCAAACGTTTACAATGAGATTGTATAGTATAAGTCTCATTTGTATTGTGAGATAGTGCTACTCTAAATCCAAGCTGCAGTGTGACATTTATCTTATATATTTCTTGTTTTGACTACATTTCCTATTTAAGCTATTCTCCGCAAACCGAAATCAACCAGCAGCTGAGTATGAAAAGTTCAAATAGATCACCAGAATCACAAACCAGTAAGACATAATGACACATGAAAAAAGAAAAACCTTGATACTGTGTTTAGTTAGTTCAATAATTAGTGTAAAATTAATTTTTGCATGTTACTGTTTGTATTTTTTTTTTGCAGATCAGCGGGGGGGGGGGGGGTCTGAGCTGATGTCATGGCCAGGGGTGGACAATGAACCTTTGACCCAGAAAAGCCTTTGGCTAACCATTTGGCTATTTGCTGCCAATTTTGTTTTAAAATCAGCAAATCCAATCTTTTAAAATGAGACATAACATAAGGAAAGTTCAGTTCTAAAAGTCTGCAGAGTCAATCCTCCATCACAAGGCGCCTAAATTCGTTTACCATAGATACCTCTCTTGGTGATCCGAACTGTTAACTCAGTTTAACAACAGAAACGCTATCACGCACCTGTCAATATCATGTGTCCATGTAACATACAATTTTGTTTGTCTTAATCAAACAACTAGTGTATCAAAAGGGAAACTGTTACATGGCTGTGTACTGTACGAGGTGCGTAAAGCTCCAGAGTAAATCGGTGCAGTAAGCACAGGGCCATTAGTTGCATGCTTTCTCTTGTGCCTGTGGAGAAAGTGGACAGGTGTGGGTGAAGATGAAGAGAGATGGGTGGAGAAGAGGAGGGGCACCTTACGGCCAGTGATGTCTAGCAGCCTCCAAGCTACTGCTGGAATTTCAGAAGATTGAGGCCCTCAGACACAGGAGGAGAAAGGAAAGTGACAACGAGGAGGGGAAATACAAGCCCCTACATGTTCCTCCATGACACACGTTTTCTCTGCTTTAGATGTGTTGTTTTAAACTCTCCTCCCCCTTTCACCTCAAACTTTTCTCTATCCACTTTCTCAGCTGCACCTCATCGAACCCTTAATAAAGCAGCCAGTTTGAAAACATCCTTCCTCTGAGCTTCTCTCTCTGACACCTCTGGGAATTTTCAATATACCCAGGCTCATCTGTTAAGCCTTTATGGAAGTATGGAAGTCAATGAAAATGTCAACTCCATCACTTCTAAACATTTTAGAGCTTAATAATCAATTTCCTGTGTACTGACTTTATTTATACATGCTTGAGCAGATGCTTTTGGGACTTTCATTGTTTTTCTGTCTGACTTCATAAGACAATACCCGTCATAATCTGTATTGTGTGATTAAGTAAACAAGATGTTTTTCATGTTAAATGCACATCAGACTATTTCAGCTTCCTACATTTCATTATTTTCATCAAGAAGTAAGCGCATTAAACCAACCATCCCCTTGTTTCAGGGGCATCTCAATGCATTGGACAATAGACAGTCACCGGCTGACGCTACTGGAAGCACAGTGGACTGTGGCTGTGTGAAAGGGCCTAGAGGACTGGAATGTTTGCCACAGGTCAGGAGTGGCGCTTTCTGCTCTTTTGTGTGTAGTCTGCAGAGGAGGTGTGGAATGCAAACTTCATGAGAATAAAAGGGATGAAGGGAAAGAGAAGCTGGGGGTCGCTGGGCGGGAGGGAGACTTAAAAACAGAAAAAGAATGGGTGCAAAGACTCAGAAAGGAGTGTACTGGGAAAGTGTTTTAGTGTCTGAGGCGGACAGAGAACACTGTTAATTGAGGGAAAGTGCTTAAAGGGTTGCCCATGAGATGCACAAGTTAAAACTGTCGCTGCAGCTGCAGACCACACACAATGAGCACTGCAGTGACCGTGATTTAGGGGGGTGTAACACACACATTCTCATCATAATGTGAATGACATTCTTAGAAATATTCTTGGAGCTCATTATTATCTGCCCGTCCGTCACACACTCTCAGTCACATTGCTGCTGAAAAGCATCACTCACATAGTTCATTTGAGATTCGACTACAAAAAAAAAAAGTATTTGAATTGATTGAAATAGGAACACAACTATAGAAATAAAGCATGAAGCACATTGCTACTTTTTGGTTTTCCAGAAGTTTTATTAACTCAAAGCAGACAGCAGATATAAACAACTCTGTGGTGCCAGTTCTATCTCATTTTAGGCAAACTAAGTACACTTAAGGATTCCTGGGGAGTTGTCCACTTTGCAACAGTGGCGCCTTGCAGAAGTCTTTAGACAGAATCATTGTATTATCCTTAAGGCCTTCATGTACTCTCATTTATGTACTCCTCTCATAAAACACATTTTATGTGACACCAGGAAATTATTAAGCTCTCAAGTTCCTTAATTGCTGCAAGCCGTTACAGGATGATACAAAATCTGAATGCGTTTTTTATACACAGACAGAAAGTGTAAAGGAAAATACACACTAATTGTTCCTCTATTTAATAATCAATTAATGCAATCATTGTGTACTGTGCAGCATAGGGTAGAGGGGGGCAAACAGGCGGGAAGCTTCGGTGCGGTTGCTGACTGAGTTTATTTAGTCTATTTGCTTGAGCAGTTAATTTAACAGACAGGGCCCTTAGATGTTAATTAGCTTAGTCCGCTGTCATGTCTAAGTATTATAATTATCACCAGACTGGCAGATCCCCTGGCTCAGTCCAAAAGGGGAAATTTCCACATTTCCCGTGGTCACATCCCTGGTTTGGCAACTTCATTAGAGCAAGGTTAAGCAACTGACTGTCTTGAGTAATATATCTAAAACCACATTTCGGCATCAAAACTCCCTTATGGGTCTGATGGGGATCTTGCTCCTTTTTAGTATCACTCATGAATTTAATCTTGACCAATACAGAAACAGCATAACTGATTGGTTAAGGTATGAGCAGCAGTGGTGATGAAATACCAAGCAGGCAAAGAATCCTGTCTGATGGGTTCAATTTACCGCAGGGACTTTAACCCAGAGTACCTGACGCTAAATGGATTTTCATCACAGGATGTGGCTTGGTGAAAGCTCTTATGTAAGAACACACTCTCTGTGATATATGGAGATGCTATCATCAGCTGTCTGTGGGTGGCACGAACACATTTCTCTTGAGGTGCTTCAACAGATCAGGGTTTCTACAGACCTCAGAGAGATTAACCTACATATTCCCCCGATGAGCAATGTATGTATTTGTTCACTTCCTTTGTTTTCTACCTTTCAGTCTTGTACTCTGTATGAGTTAAAGATCTCAGATTCTTCTTGATTTTAAGAGACTTACAAAACCCACACTAAACAATCCTGCACCAAAGTAATGTTTGTCATCCTAGAACTGAGACTATAGCTTTTTTCTTTCATTTATTCCAGACAGATGTTTGCTGTTTCTTAAAATGTTTAAGCTCAAATAGAAACTGTAGATGTGATTCATTCATAATTCTGCTCTTTCAACCCCCCCCCCCCAACATACAAACACACACACAAACCACAAACTTCGACAAGCAGTCATCAATCACACCCCTCTTTAAATGTGTCTGATATCGTAATGACAGAACGTTTTTCATATAATATACAACTACGTGACATCACCTGCCGCAGCTAATTGGAAAGCGATGGCGTAGTTACTTGAAATGATTTGTTAGGTGGTTTTCACGACTGCTTAGGAAATAAAAATGTATTTCCCCCTTTGAATATTCATAAATTCATTCTTGGCAAAGTGAAAGAGTCGGTCTCCTCTGTCTTCTGAGACTTCACAGGCATATTTTTCCTGACAGTTTGCCTGTTGTCCTGTTCTGGCATGTTCTCCAACACAAGGAAGCAGACTGGAGGCGGACTCAATTGGAAGCCCATTTTAAGGGTCACTAATTTGAAATCTGCACCTCTTAAGGTTATTAAGGTTTCGCTGTTACTCACAGGGTGTAAACGATGCTGACAGATGACTTCACTTCACTTTCCAATCTCTCAGTGATGAAATGATAAGAACATTCAACATTATTTATCGGCCCAAAATGACCTGCAGAGAGAGAGAGAGAGAGATAGAGAGAGAGAGTTAAGAGACTAACAGAAACACCTCCTTGGCATTATCTCCATCTCCAAAGTATCTCATGGATTCATCTCCTTCCCAACTTCATCACTCATTTATCCATTAATACATGTCACAACACATATGGAGTATTATTTTCTAACTTTGCTGCCCAACATGATTTGTATTAGCAGTGTGTAAAGTTAGTTTCCATGGTTTCATTCAAAGAGGCCGCCAGCATGAGCTGATTTCATTCTCCATGTTAGAAACTTCTCAACAGTATTTATTTGTGTTGACATCATCTTGAAAAGGATCACCTCCTGACCTTACATTAATCATTATCAGTGTGATTTATAAAACTGTTTGACTTAATGAAAGTTGACAAATAACTGGCATGGGATGAACGGAGTGACTTTGATTTTAATTGGATTTTTCCTGTGCATTACATTCACGTCATGTGTAATAACTTACATATACGAGCTGGCTCTCAGCAGGCTAAAGTTTGTTTGCTGCCAGACAAGTAAAAAAAATATACATCAATGTCTAGGTAATTTCTGAATAAAAAACGATACTTATTTAGTTAATTATACTGTATGTTTTAAAGAATAATATGAATGTGTAAGTTGTACGGGCCCAGGCAAAGGTACACAGCACGTGCTGTGGAAATATTTCACACCCAGAGCTCAGACTACCAACTGGACTCTTAGTAACTATCTGCTAAAAGCTGCAAGGAATGCGGCCCTGACTCCGGCCTGCTAAGCTGGTACAGAGGAGGGAGACGGTGGGAGGTCAGGGCGTCTGCTGTTTACCTTCCAGATCAACCTCCATCTGTCCACTTATCTCAGTGCTTCTTTCAAACCCCCCATATCTCTCATTTCCATATGATCACGTTCCCTTTTGTGCTCCAACTACTTCCTAGAGGGTTCCTTTTTTAATGATGCAAAATATGTTCTTGTTTACCATGAATGATGAAGCCTAACTTATTTTGGATTTACATCATCAACGTCTGTGGGTCAATGATGTTTATTAATTTGTGGTGCAGGGTTGGTTTGGCTAAAGGACTGATATAAAACAGTCTGTTGGGATAAAAGACATGAGCTGTCACATTAAAATGGATGTGTCTTTCCTTCTTTCTGTGGTTTGTTCTCCCTTGAGAAATGTTGACTTGGATTATTGTCTCTGAATGTTCTCTCTCCTTCACCCTCACTTTAAACAGATCTGTCATAGATTGGTTTCTGGAAACGTTATCTCTTATAATTTTCAATTAGACAGGGTCTTCACAAGTCTTATCTCAGAGCATGCCTCAACTGAATACCACAGTGTTCCACAGAATTAATTAGACTTCTGGCAGGACTGTATTCAGCCTGCACAGGTAATCGACACTGTGCAGGCTTACATTCTGGCAGATGATTTGGACAGATAGTCTCAGCTGTTTTAGGAGGTATAGATGAATTGTCACAACCGATTGTTTCTGCTCATTTCTGTTAAAAAGTTCTCATGGTTTAATGCAAACATACTCCTACAACTGGTGGTGCACAATAATTAATATTCCTGTTTTTAATAATGTTTTCAGCCAGGTGTGCATGCCCCTGAACTAGTAATCCTTGCCCTTTGACCTAAGGTGATTCTGCCTGCAGCTTCTCTGTGGTCAAGCTTCAGCCTGAACAAGCATCACAGAAACGCTGCAGCAATGCTGCTCTGACCTTAGACCGATGTTAGAGATAACCTGCTAATACCTAACTCCATGAACTGTCCAGAGGTGTTGTTATGATGAGGAGTATTTACCAAGTGCTGTGTGTAAGTTCAAATGCCTTTCAGCATCAAAGGATTAAGTCAAACTTGTGATCTTCACTCTCCACTGACGCTGGGAATGGGAAACATGTATCAACAACTTAATAAAGAGATCTCTGAAAGTTTTCCAACATCAACATTAATATAATGGCTGTCTCTATCCTTGTACTGAGACTTCATTTTAGGAGCCACCTACATTCAGGTGTGCCTCTTGTTATAGTTTCTGTGGCTAAAATAGCACAAAGAGCTACAAGATAAGCAACAATGAGGACACTGACAGGTTAGCAGTTAACACCATGTTCCTCCAATGAAATGAGACCTAACAAATTATCGCGTGTAATAAAAGTAATGTATGATGGATGGTGTTCTGCAGGCGCCCAGGACAGCGTCCTATGGGAGGGAAGAGGCAGAGGAGGAGGAGAACAGAGGGAGGGAGTGAGGGTGAGAGGGAGAAATTGAATGAGAGGGACAGAGCGAATCTGAGATCTGAGAGGAGCCACCACAACAAAACTTCTCCAACTATCAAGCAAGTGGAACTACAGACTGGTTTCTCTCTTATTTTTTCTCTCCGCATGGCTGCTGAGTTTTTGTTAATATAATTTGTGCAGCAGAAAGTTCTGGTGGCGGAGGCAGAGGCAGAGGGGGGGTCTCCGCTGGTAAAGATGGATCATTTAATAAGGAGCAGGTTACGCAGGAGAACACCGCTATTTATTTTGATTCTACTTCATGTGACGGCGACACAAGCGGGTAAAGTATCCATTTGAACACCTTCAGTTCAATAATAGAGATATGTATGTGCTACAAACGTTGGTGAAAATGTCAAAAAGTAGTCCCGTCACTGCATTTACTAAATGATGCACTGACCCCTCTAAGTTATCAACACTTTCATTCAGCAGGCTATTTGAACCCAGCCAATACCAAAACATTAACGCAAAAAAATGTTTTTTAAACTTTATTGTTACTTTGCATCCTAATTTAAATACTATCAGTGCTTTAGATCTGTGTGGGTGTTTGGTGATGCTTAAATTTGCCCCACAGAGTCGCCTCAGGCTGGAATTCACACTGTGAGCTGTCTCCAAATTACTTTTAGAACTTGTCAGAACCTTTCAGAAGTGTGCAAATGATTTACGTTTTTCTGTAGCTTATGAGATATTTGTTATATACGCATAGCATACTTGTTAAACGTGCTTATCCTTGCACAAGAGGCACGCTGTGAATTATTCCACGTTTCCTGCTCCAGCTTGCATTGTTATTGAACACATCTCCAATGTTTAGACGTTAACGTCCTCTTCCCGCGTCAGGTGTGCTGGAGGACTTGGAGCGCGCTCAGGAGATGTATGATGTCATGTTTGAGTTTGCTTGTGACCAGCGTCGGTTTACTGTGAAGAGGTTTAGCGTTGGCTTGAGAAAGAGGTGAATGGCTGAACACTGACCGAGCTGAGTAGATTAAAATTCCTGTCATGGATCTGTTTAATGTGCCCTCTGCTCGCACAGGTCTTAAGTGAAGGCGCTTAGCACTAACACTCTTACTGCCTTATTATGAGTATTCTGACACACATTAATATTATACACGTTTTATTGCAGGCGACCACCTCGGGTCATATTTTACCCTGTTGTAACATAATCACTCTTTGTCTTCTTGAAGGAGAGTGACTGCCCTCACTGTTCAGTTTATCCACCTGCAAGAAGAGGGCTGACCTCTGCAGCTGTGCCTGTCTGTCTGACTGTCTGTCTGACTGCAGGTGTCAACATTTTCTGCCTTGTTCAGCAAGTGCTTCAGCCATTTCAGGACCTCCTTGTCCCAAATTTAGCCAGGAACAGCCAGCTTGTGCATACAGTATGTCATTTGGCCCATGGCTGTCTGACACCCACACAGGCTTCACGCCCTGTGGCCGTGTCCTGAGTGTCTTCTACTGGCCAGCAGACGATTTCCTTGCAGGTGCTGTGTTTTAGAGACTCCCTGATGGAGTGACATGTCTCAACAGCAGAAGTTAACCCCATGGTCACCAAGAAGTGCTTAAAGATGCCTTATTTTTTACTCTTGGCTTTACCACATGCTCACTCTTTATAGCTGGCTGATGGCAGTGAGAAGTGAGCCAAAAGGACACACTCACATTCAAGTGACACAGCGGGCCTGGTGTCCCTGCTCTCTAATGAGCGCCTGTGAAGTGTGAGGCTGAGATGATTTAAAAGTGCCGGACATATGGTGGAGCTGATATCGAGATCTTAGATATGTACACATGGTTGATATTGTGTTTGTGACCCTCAGTCGGGTTGTGTGTGTGTGTGTGTGTGTGTGTGTGTGTGTGTGTGTGTGTGTGTGTGTGTGTTTTTTATTTTTCAGTGCATGAAGGTTTTCCCATATGTTTTCTGTGTGTGTCCCACAGAGATGAGAGAGTACTTTGTAGTCATGTTTGCTGACAGGAAGTGAGACATTCTTGCACAAGTCCACAGTTAGTTTCACTTAGAATCCTCTGTTCTTTTGCCTCAACACATTTTTGTTCATCTTTCTTTTTTTCTTTCTGTTCTTCAAAGCCTGGGAATAGGGAGTGTTTGTTTTTTTTATGCTATTTGCCTTATCTCTTAATTTACATCATCCTTTTCCTCTTGCCTATGCCCTGCCTTATGCTCAACTGATTCTATGAAGGGGAGAGGGGGGACGTGCGTACAGCCCCCTCACTGGGTCCCGTTTGATCCAGTCTCTTCGGCAATCCTGCATCCGACTCCTAAAGGAGGATGGCGAGCCTTGTTTGCCTTTGATCTGGCAACAAATTAGAGGCAAATGAAAACAAATGAAAAAGCAGCTGAATTTTGCAGGATACAGACTATGAAAAGAGGAATTTCCACGCCTGTTACGGATCTAGTGTGCTCCTGATTTTGTGTCTCTCCAGTGGAAACATTAAACACTACACGTTTCTGATATGCTGATGTCTGTCCCCGAGCTGCTGATGCTGCAAGTATTATATCAAACTGCATCTCAGACATTTGATGAGGGGGAATAGTTTTCTTTAATACGCAGAGGTGATGCTTAAACAATTCATGAAACTGGACTGCAATCTATAGTATTCCACTCACATCTGGCTTCCAGAAACTCAGTGACTCCTGTCCCCTCAGGCTTCTGTGGCTCTGGGTTTCTGATCACTCGATGCTTTAAGAAGCTTTCTGTGGGACCGGTTGGAGATTTCTCCTGTAGAATTACAATGAGCAGACATCAGAGGAGCTGACTTCACTGCAGTGTCCCCTTCTATTTCATTTGCCTCTTTCACCCAGTTTATGAGCCTCAGGACAGTTTAATCGTCCCTCATATGGTCAATCACATCTAAGTGGAGGTCAAAGTCATTAGGTTTATTATACCCTGTGTAAAAAATAGTCTGCTATTCTGCGTGACACTGTGACCTAGCTCATATTTTAACTTATCTGAACCTGCTAAGTGTCACTTAGCATAGACACTAAGCTGCTAACATAGAGGGGGAATGATTCCCGCAGAGGCCCACATCCTGTGAAGAATGTCTCTCCCTCAGAAGCACAAAGGGACACGACTTCAAAAGGAGCCTGTGTATATACCTGTATTACAAACGCCTCAACGTTTTGATGTCTGAGAGACTAAATGACAGCTTGGGATGAAACTTTAATAGCTTTGGTCATGTGCGTGTTTGCATGTTTGTATCACGGTAATCCTCTGTGCCTTAGGAGGTGTGTTTATAGGACAAGTGCATGAAAATTGAGTGTGTGCACTCGTTTTTGTACATTTTGGTTGTCTGTTGTGTCATATATACTAGCCTGATATCCTCAGAAATAAAAAAAAGTATGATAGAAAAATCAATATTTTAACCCCTCCCTCCACCTTTTAACATGGGGTTTAAAAATAAAAATAAAAAACGGTTCAGGCTAGGTTGAGGGCCAGTGTTAAGCATACAGCAGACATTTTTGGGAGTCGATTTACTGTGTTTAAAGAATGTCCTCACAAGTATAAAAGTTTGTGTTTGTGTGTAGCTGTGCCTGCCCTGTTAGGGTCTGCGAGGGGCAGGTGTTTTCTCCATGGGCCGAGCAGCTTTTGGCCTGTCAGCTCATCACGCTGTGAGCAAACATGAGCAGAACAAACTGTGGAGATTTAAGAATTTGGTTCTGATGTGAATTAGAAAGAAATGTGTGACCAGATTCCAGTAGAAACTCTCAGCTTCCACACGAAATTTAAAATCTCACGCAGAGCTTTGGCCTAAACAACAATGTATAACCAATGACCCAAATCCAGCACTGCACTCTGACCTTACATTTATTAATGTTTTCATATTGAAGACTTTGGAACATTCACCTAGAATTTTTAATTGATATTGTAATTTTTCTTCATTAATGATTCAAAGGGTCAGCCAGTATTCAGTTTATATAAGAAACAATACAATAAATAAATAATGGAAAACTTTAAAAAAAAGACAAAGAAAAAGCCTTGCACACAGTTTGGCTTACTTGTGCTGCCTTCTTTAAATTCATTTGAATGTACATTCAGCATATTCTCTCTCTATGTGCAAAGGAAACTCAGCAGCTACAGATTCAGACATGGCCCTTGTGTTTGCATGTCTTTAGTTATCTTGTATCTCATGCCTACACAGGCTGCAGAGTATCATCTTATAAATATTAAAGTTGTGGTATTATAAATATTTTGGTATTACATGCTGAAAATGGTTTTAAAAATTGATGTAAGGCACTGTGGGTTGCTTTTATCATCACCTTTTTTTAATCTCATAATAATATTTATGACTTATAATAACCCACATAACCCTGAAGAATAAGTATAAAACTATTCCCAGGGGTTGTCTACAGAAAGGCTGACTTGACTTGCTCCTAAACTCTCAGTGATAACCGAAAGCAGACCCAACCGCAAGCTCTCTCTCTCTTAGCTTGTATATTTTAAGCCTAGTAAATGCCTTTGTCTCTGCGTTACAATAAATGTACCTTTGTCTTTCTAACACACTCCTCTCTCTCTCTCTTTTTTTAATAACATCTGTTTTCAAGTAAAAGAGCAAAGTGTTGGACAAATGAAACAACACAGTGATTCAGAGCAACATCTTGACAGGGGCAGAGGTCCAAGAGCTGTTTTTCCCCCCTACTGTTGAGTCAGTGTATCAGTCCTATTTGGCTGTTCATGTGTTGAGATATTCATCTGTTCAGAGTGTATTAGCTCTCCTCGCCCCATAGTGTTCTTGTCCACAAACAGCAGTGACCCAGACAAAAGGTCACACCCACTGCTAATTAGATTAAGGCAATTCTTCATGGAGCCTCTGTCTGGATTTATTCAAGTGGATCTATTACCAATACTTCGTGATTCTTCCCAACAGGTTTTACAGCTTGTTACAGCTAAATGAATCTGAAAAAAAAAGCTTTCCCAGAACTACTTTATATAATTAACAAGTTAACAAATGTTGAAAAAGGGAGGGGAGGTGTACTGCCAGAATGTTTCTGCTTTATAGACATATGTTCCTTGTATGATTTTGTATTGCTGCTTTATTATCACAAGATGCCTCCCAACTGAAATGTCAGGTTCAAGAGTCAGTTTTTTTTCCTATACTCATCTCAGGGTGTGGTCCAGGATACTATGAGTTGTCATTGCCCAGATTCATTTTGGTGTAATTCCTTGTTAAAATTCCCCAGTTCCCAGACGCAATACATTCTGACAGTGCAGTACTGTGTGTGTGTGTGTGTGTGTGTGTGTGTGTGTGTGTGTGTGTGTGTGTGTGTGTGTGTGTGTGTGTGTGTGTGTGTGTGTGTGTGTGTGTGTGTGTGTGTGTGTGTGTGTGAGGGGTATATTCAGGCTGGGCTGAGTGTAGGTGGTGTGAGTCATACAGAATGTCTTCAGAGACATTTGCTCTAGTAACACACAGAACGCATTATGTCCGTGTATGACTGAGCTGTATGACCACAAGACATGGAGAGACTGTGTCAAGTGTCACACAGGCCGTGAAGATAAACAGATGTAGTGTTTGGTGGCATTTCCAGAGGGTAGTGCCCAGATTGTATTTTTCTCTCAGACATGTGGACAGCACTGTTACCGGGCAGATATGGTTGTTTCTGAGAGAAAAAACAAAAGATAGATAAGGAAAAGAAATGTCTATGTGCAGAATCTGTATGATTTTGTACCTGCAAAGCAATTTCTGTATATACTGGACAGTGTGCGTTAGCTTCTACTTTTTCCAAAATTTGCCAGATGTCTGTGAATTTTCTGGATATTTCAGCTACTTCCCTTGCACTCTGACATTTTGTCGTGAATGGAAAAAACTCTGAGTCATCAGTCCGTAGAGATTCTCCAATGCGAGTAGAAACACATCTTCAAGTAGTGGGAGAACAGCCTGCGTCACAAGCCAATCAGAATAACCATCAGGCTGCAGCTTGTATCTGCTGTCCATCAGAACCTGTTCCTAAAGATGTTTATCGGCTAAATGCTCATTGGCTCTTATTATCTTTCTCTAAGTAACACGATTTGACAGGTGAGACAAAGTCATGATTACGAGACAAAGTCTAATGAGATGCAAGCAAAGCCTGCTCAGACAGTCAGAGCTGCAGGATAGGTGAGGAGCCTGCAAGAACGGGCTCAACTTAAGGATCCAAAAAAAGGGAATAGATTACTGTCTTTTATTGACTGCTGCCTGGATCCAGACTTGACATGGCTGGCTGCCACTAGCCTGGGGTTTTCCTCTTGACGCCAGAATCAAGGCTGGTGGTATTGAAATGGGGAAATACTGGATGTTCTGCAGAAACTTGCTTGTATTAATGTGGGTTATTCTTGCATTGAACTGGTGTCTGTTGTTTTTTGGTGCAGAAGCTAACAGGGTTGCATCTGTTTAAGTCCAACATATTGTTTTCACATGTCCTCTGAATCTGCTTGCCAAACTTATCTCTCTACAGGTTATTTTTCAAATGTGGGTTTGGGATGCCTATTATTCCCCGCAAGTTTAACTGGCAGTTTGTTGTGAATTGTTCCCTTTTGGAGGAATTTCTCGTACTTGTCTCCGATTTCTCCCTCTGGCATTGTTGCACATTTTTGACTGTTCTCTGTTGTCATGGGAGAGTCAGAGGTCAACGCTCTCCTGTCAATGCATAGCTGGAACAAAGTTAGGATTGAGCAATGGTTATTTTTAAAAGTCATTGTGGTTGAGGGAGAATTCTCTTTTCTTTGGACCCTTGGGTGCATTGACATGCCATTCTTGGATTGCTTGAAATGAAACTATTTTTGCTGAAAAGTAGATTATGGTAGTTTGTTTTGAGGCCATTCGGTCAGGTGGTGTACTGGATGAAATGAACCACAGAATCCTGGAAAATTTGATCCATGTTGTTTCAATTAAGAACAGTATTCAGACTGTTCCAAACTCCACTGACTTATGACCTCTCTTCCTCCCTGTGAATGGGGAAACATGGGAGAGAAAGAGAAAGAACAAGACAGACTGATAGAAAGACGAGCAGTAGAGAGAAAAATAGAGATAGATAGATAGATAGATAGCTAGAGAGAGAGAGTTTCTGACCTTTGAATAAAACACAAACTTCCAACTTTGGAAGGAAATTGATTTGCAGTCAGGAATCGAAGGAGGCTACAAAGAAAGTACACAGAGCTCACATGGGATTAGAGGAAGACAGAGACGCTCCTTCCAATTCAATTAAACACAAACATCAAGGATTAAGACCCAGACATGATGTAAAAGTAGACTGGTGTCAAGTAATAAGCTCTTCGGGAGAAATGTCGATGCGCTCCTTCTGAGGGAAAATCATACGAATAAAAGACACTCTGACATGCAAGCCATGTCTTTGTTTTGATGTCATAAAGGTCAGTTTGGTTGCAGCACATTTTCTTCACTGCCCAACTTAATCCTTGTCTATCAATTTTAAGTCCTAAAGCATTGAACATTTCTTAAAGATAACTAACACAAGACCTTTTTGTACATACTTGCACAACATACTTGAAGTGGTCACTGGAGTGTGACCTTTTAAAGTCAACAGATCCCTTGTTCCTTTACACTTGGTCAACTGTCAGAGTGGCTGGAGCAGATTTGATCTTGTAACATCGTATGACATACAAACGTTTTTTTTCTGTAAGACGTTAACAGGTCCTGTAATTATTTGATTCACGCAGCTTGTTTATGACTCTGTATGGATGCAAAATGTATACCCTGAGGTCTTAAATACCTAGATCTAATAGATCTGTAGCTAATGTGTGCATTGTTGGGACCCAGCTGTAATTCACAGCTTAGCCTATTTACAGCCTGGTTGCCATGCTATGGGACTATGAGGGTGATCTCTCAAAGCTGCTTGGAATAAACAACCTCTGCTATGCAAATAAATAATGCCATAAAATGTAAAGCTGTGTTCTTCTGCAAGCAATGTCTGCGCAACAGTAAACTCTGTCCACATGTTTAATTAACAAGGAGAATAAAAGGTATGAGCGACAAGAGCTACAGGAGGTAATTTGGGTTTAGGATCCTCATTTCAGATGCCTGGAATGCTAAGTGCTGAGTTGCTCTGAACAGGTTCTCTATAGCAGCTGGTTGGAGACCGACTGTGCACAAAGCTCTGATCCTGCCTAATGCTCATGGCAGCGCTTTATCAATAGAACATCTAATAACACAACCAGCAGACTTCTAATAAAACACAGGCTCATTGTAATGAGAGAGAGCCAAGACTGGGAGAAACCTCATATCTACAGGCGGAACAGTTGCAAAGCTGAATGAAAATGTGCATAATGTGATACTGTGTATTTTACAACAAGAATAACATCTAATTGGAATCTTTAATGCGATATGTTTCGAGTAAACAGAAACATGTTGGAAGAGTTTTACTTTGAAATATCTTGTCAATGTCAGAAAAGGTGTTATTTATGCAAGTAAAAAGCTCAAATCCGAAGCAGACATAATGTTGCAGGGTGAGATGTGTGCAGGTGTCAGCTGTCAGGTGCACTGCAGTAGGATTATGGGTTAGGCTGTGTACCAACCCTATCCTGTAATAACACCCACAGCAGCCTGGCCACCTGCTGCCACATCTCAGAGGAGCTTGCCTCTTCCGACTCCGGGGAAGCAGGAAGTCTCCGCACTTTAAGACCAGCCGCACTAAACCCTGCTCTTCAGCTGAGTAACAACCAGCACTTAACCCATCCAGACAACAAAGTGCCGTCACACTGGCAAAGTTTAAATGTTAGACTGACTCCACTAACAGCATGCTGCTGCCATCTGCCCACAAGATCCACCCTTTCCTGGGTCGTCTTTATAATTGTTCATACATTACTAGAAACAGAAAACAAATACAAAGTAGGATATTAGCATACTTAAGAGGGGTTTATGCAGCATCTTTAAAAACAAGGAAGAACAAGCTTAATTACAAATACCATCACCATGTGCAGATGCTTAATTTTTTTCTTTTGTTTCATTTCAGCTGATCCCGTTGATGTTCTGCGGGTGTTGGAGCTGTCAGAAAACATGGAGGGGGTGTCCTTGAAGGCTGGTCTCTGCAGCAGCAGGAGGGGGACGGAGGAGACAGACCTTGCCTTCAAGATAGACAAAAAGATCCAGCTCAGTGCTCCCACCAAACAGCTCTTCCCAGGTACTGGATTTTTATTCAAACTAGACAGCAAAGCTTCCAGTCACATGAGGCAATGAACTTGAGGATTTCCAAAAATAGAATAGAAAAAAGCCCTAAAATGTGTCACTTTTCTGCTCCTTGTAAAACCTCAGGATATCTGACTTTGAACTCCCTCTGCTCTTCCTTGTAGGTGCTTGCTGCTTTCACAGGCGATATTTTTCATCATTATTATCTTAACTCAGGTCTCACCCGTCAGCGGGTGGTTCCTGCATGTTATAAAAATGTCTGCGCCCTGCTGTGCTCTCTCTTGTACGACATAAAAGCATCTCTCTCCTCTCCTCTCCTTTCCTCTCCTTTCCTCTCCTTTCCTCTCCTCTCCTCTCCTCTCCTCTCCTCCATACAGATTCAAAATTTCCTGAAAATTTCTCCCTGATGGCTACACTGCGAGCTAAAAAAAGGCTCCCAGTTCTTCCTGCTTTCAGTCTATGATGACCAGGGGGTGCAGCAGCTGGGGATTGAAGTGGGTCGTTCACCTGTCTTCCTGTATGAGGATCAGCATGGAAAGCCCACACCGGAAATGTACCCCATCTTTAAGAAGATCAACCTCGCTGATGGAAAGTGGGTAGTTTGACGGCTTAGTATGCTTCTCTTTATAGAGCTGAGTGACATTAGAGCAGATTCACCATCACTGTGTCATTTATATAAAACTTTGCTTGTATAACTTTATCCAGCCTTGAATTCTCAGGCAGGCCTCTAATAGCTGCAGTCTGATTCACACAGCTGTCTTTATATTGACCTTGACTGATTTTAAAGGGAATGAGATGCTCATGGAGCTTTTGCAATGATTTGACTTGATCAAAGGAATTAAGAAATCAATCCTTCACAGTCTCAGGCTCAAATGCACTTCTGTTTTGCTTAACTTGAAAAAGGTTGAGATACAAAAAACTTGCATTGCTTAATTTTCCCTCCACCTCCAGCCTGGGCTTAACTGTGTATGAATTCCCCTCTCTCTTTTTGCCTTCAGATGGCACAGGATTGCCTACAGTGTGCAGGACAAGTCTGTAACCATGTACTTGGACTGTCAGAGGGTGGAGAGCCTGAAACTGCTGCGAGGGGACAACGCTGTAGTCAGCACTGAGGGCGTCACTGTGTTTGGTACACGGCTGCTGGATGAGGCTGTTTTTGAGGTAGGACATCATTACATTAAGTCTGGAAACCTAGTTCCCTTTTTTCTGTGTTTACTGAGAAGATCAACTACTGTGTAATTGTAGAGTGAAACTGTTCAATTCTGAGTTGAGGTAGATTTAATTCAAGTGAAACCATGGCAGACTGTGGAATTTGTGTAATATGCAGTGCATATACTGTGTGCTGAATCATCTGACAAGGCGCTGTAGGGGAATGTCCTGATGACCTTGATTTGATTTGGATTAGTATTCCAGGAAGTCTTTCTTACTTTATTCTTTATCCTCTTTCTTTAAACTTCTTCAGATTTAACAAGTACTGCTGGCCTGAACATTTCTAGAATTTGTGTATGGTGAAAATGGTTCAAAGGTTTTCAAAAGTTTGAAGATCAGATGAGAAAATGTATGCTGCTTCAACGGTCAAGCATTCATAAGTATTACTGAAAAAAAAAGAGAAATATGTTTTGGAAATAGAATATTTGGAGTGAGCTTCCTCTATCAAATAAATCTATTACCGTATGTATCAAATTAGATTTTTCTTTACAGTGTACAGTTGTTATGTTATAGGAGATATTATACTCCTTCTCCACCTTTTCAAACAGTCCCCTGTGGTCTAAATGAAAAACCTCTGCTGTGCTTTGGTCAAAATATATCATGAATCAAGCACCAGAGGAGGTCTGTGACCCTGTATAAACCAGCTCTCTCAGAACGCTCCGTTTTGGTTTGTGTGTCTCTTTAAATGCTATGAGCCCCCCTGCCCCCCTGAGTTTTCCCAGTAGACATCACTCCTCTGTAGAGATAATAGAAATGGCGGACCTGCACACAAGTTTTGTTCTAGCTGGGTGGAGATACCAGGGGAGGGGAGGGTATTTTTTTTTAACCAGAATCCCACTGTGACATCACAAGGAGAGCAAATTTGAAACAAAGCACTTTTCTCTGTGTTGTTAGACTTATGCAGACCACAAACAAAGGACTGGATGGGTTTATTTCACATTTTGTGGGTCAGTAGACACTCAGGTTACCAGATATATGTTCACAAACACTGTCAAAGTGGATTTTTCATAATATGACCCCTTTTAAATGGTTTGACAAGCAGAATAAAAATGATATTGCACTATGGAATACCTTCCTCTCACATTCACTTGCCTTTTAAGTTAAGAAAAGATCTAGAGGGACAATCATGGGTCAAGAAGCAATTGAGTGATAGGGGTCTCCTGTCAGTCAAGTCCTGCAGAAACAAAGCGTTGAAGAGAAAATGAGGTGTTTGGGGAGAAAGTGAGCAGGAGCTGTTGTTTTTGTTCGGACATGCCCAGCCTCCTCATTTTCTTTGCGAAGCCCCAAAAAAACACATTCTCTTTGCTTTTTGGCATCTTCTGTTTAGATCTGTGGGATATAAATGTGTTAATGGGGGTCTGTATGACCAACTGGGAAGATACATTATTGACACTCTGATTGGAGACAATCATGTATCACATGTTGAAATCCTGCTGTAGTCTTTAAAAAATAGTACTTGGAAAATGAAACTGAGAGATCCTTTTAAAAGCTGAACTGCACTACTTCAGCCAATTGTCCATTTATAAATGAATATGCTGGGAAAAAAATGCAGAAGCAAAAAGATTAAATTTAAACTCTGTGGTTCAAATTCTCTCTTTTCTTGCAGTGACCTTTATTGTCATGTGTCATTCCGTGCTCTTCCCATGACAATTTGCAACTCATGCTCCACTGTCAATCTGAATGAGACTCCCCTTGATTTCCTTCCCTTATAGCATGACACAGAGATCAGCTCCAGCCACTTCCCTGCCATGTCCTCTGGGCTCTGAGTGTGCTAAACAGTGGGGCAAGAAAGAAAGGGGAAGATGAACAATTTTATAAGGCAGTCAAGTTCAGAGATATGACTATCTTCCAATCTTCTTTCACGTCTGTGTCCCCAAACTACCCTACAGTCTGCAACCGGGAACTGTAAAACTTTTAAGGAGGTGCAGGGGGAGGGGTTTATCACTCCCTACTGGCCTAATAGACAGAAAGCCCATCCTTGTTTACTTTCACCAGGAAAAAAAAAACAGATGTCCCCAGTCATGACTAGTGACTACCTTTCTAGTGCCTTTAGGTTTTGGGTGTGCAGTCAACAATTACCTCCTTAACCTTGTCCACCCTCATACTTTACCTTGGCTATAAGTTAACCTCATCTGCTCCTCCTATGCTGTAAGTTCTCTCCACTCTCCACTCCCTTCCTGCCCTTCCCTTACTGACAGACGTTCAAGTTTTTAAATAGCTTTATATCCCACTTCAGTTAGAAACATGTCTCCTTGTGGCTCAATAAATGTCTTTTTTTCAGAAGCAATGGAGACCATTTAATCTTTGGACTTAGTCCAAAAACACTCCCATGCCCTCATTAATCATCATATGGTGAATAGGTATGATGATGCCGATGATGATGACGATGCAGTATTTACAGTGATTACTAACACCTTGAAGAGTATCTGATGATCGGATCCATTCTTTAGTCCAATACATTCACTTCCTGTGGTTTGCACTTAGTGTCACTGGTTTTAGTGGAGCAAGTTAAAAGGTCTCCAATGAGTCCTGTATACTTTTTCCTTAAAGTATGTCTTGCAGTCTTTATTTAAGCATCAATATTGTACACCTCAGGGTGAGGCTGGTACCAGGGGAGGAAAGATTAAGCAGGCTGACCTCTGGGTCTCTGTTCCCAGGCCCTGGTTCTGGGGGTGGAGGCTAGTGTTCCGGCTCAGTACTCCCAGCGTGGGAGCTCAGCGTGGGAGCATGGGGACTGTGGTCAGCCACTAATGCATCTATTGCTTCCAGATTGTGTGCAAGAGTTTTGTGTTCTAATTCAACACTCTGCTTTCAATTGCAGTAAAGCAAACACAAAACTGTCCACATGTCTGGTAGTGCTGCTGCTGTCTGTGTGTGTGTGTGTGTGTGTGTGTGTGTGTGTGTGTGTGTGTGTGTGTGTGTGTGTGTGTGTGTGTGTGTGTGTGTGTGTGTGTGTGTGTGTGCCTACAACATGCTGACTGCTTAGATAAGATCCAACCCAGTGTTTATTTGTTAGGAAATTCAGACCCTTTCAGTCTGGAAATAGGAAATGTTTTTGGCTTGCAAGTTAAAGGCATGTTAAAACCGTGACATGTCAAGCATATCATTAAAGGGCTGAATTTATTTGAATGTTCAGCAACCCCATCGATTTACCACACAACCCGAACAAACACATCCAATGGGTCATGGTCTCTTTTATGTCATATATTATTTATACGAAATGCTGTTCAAATGTTTTTCATTAGTTGTGAACATCTGTTTCCAAATGCTGTTTCATCGCACTGACTTTGTTGTAAGATTTTTGTCGCTTTTTTACCTACAAAGGTTGTGACTGACACAACAAAGCAAGTTACTTTTAATAGATTGAAACCTAATTAAGATGATGTAAATGAATAAGAAGGGCGTCATATGAAGTCGAGTTAGTCGGGATTTGGTGACACAGTAGGATGTTTAGCTAACCAGCTCTACAGAGCACAGTAAAGGACGATCATAGAGGTTACACTCCTTTGCCAACAGAGACATGTATGACCTCATGCAGGACGTTTTTGAGACTACATGAATGTGTGCTTGTCCTCTTTCTATGTCCTTGCCTTGTCCTCCTACAGAGACACCAGGGCACACATGAACATTGGGGTGTAACTTCACTCTCTGTGGGTTTCTTGACAAGACAGCCCCTGCTAGGCAAAAAAAAACACAGCAACACTTCTCAGTGAAAGAATCGCCTTTGATCTTAAATTGAGATTGGATTAGTTTGGATTAACTCCCCGTTGCCTTTCTCTCTTACTATTTCTCTCTGTCAGTCACCTTAAAGTGCAATAATTGACTTTGCTTGATACTGGCTTTTAGCCAAAAAAAAAGGAAGAATACGTGGATAACAACTTCTTTTCTGTTTGATGTGTTTGAATGATTTGTTCCACACTCTTTTCTAAACTTTGGTGTATGCTGACTCAGACTTTGCTTAAAGATTCATTGCTGATCACCAATGATTTAAACTGTATTGGAGAATACACGAGCTGTGTATTACAATGGAAATATAATTAGCACAACATCTAGCGGTTAATTGGACTTGATTTTTATGACAAATCATTGCCCGGCTGTCCCTGGATAACATTTCACTGGGCAGTATGTTTGCAATGGCCTGTCAGTTACATAGATCTGTTCCACTAATCCAATCTAAAGCTTGTCAAACACTCTGCTGTAGGGCGAGCGTTTTGTTTGTATTGAATTACTTTCTGAATCATTTCTCACTAAGCACTGCAGTGCACAGTTACGTGTACTTTGATATATATTCTCTGAGTTATTAATCTGTTAGAAAAATATAACAGAAAAAAGTGGGTTTAAGTATTCTACATGATCATTTCTGGATGTGTAATTCAGGAAACAATTAAACCATTACTTAAAAGCACTTTGCATTGTGTATCACCTGTAATATATTAGTCTAATCTGAATAGAAGACAAGGCTGATGTTAACTGTAAGGCAATTGAGGCCAACAGAGGCCCTCGGCTTAGTGCTGCAGGGTAAAGCAGTGCTGTCTCTGTGCGTGTTTGTGAATACACACTGGCTTCGCCTGCAGGGCAGGATGGGAAGTAAAAGGTCCTGGCAGGGGGGTGAGACAGCACTATTTGACTGTTTTGTGAACACAGGCATGCCTCTCCTGTAGTTAAGGAAAAACAATAACACAATTGTCTGTTGCAGTTGAATAGAAGTGACAGTAGAAGTGACAGTTTTAGGGTGCTACTGCATTACAGTTTTCTTTCTGCATTTAGGAATAACCGTGGGCCGTTTTGCTTTTGTTATGGGTGTATTGATACAGGTTCAGTCTCCTGATCTCTTAAATGTCTTTTCACTGAGCAGTAGAAGACACTGTATGTTTTTGTCAGTGCTCCAGTGAGATAGCAATAGCAATTTCTGTATTCCCGGCCTTGTAACATGACATTTGTCTGTCTTTTTTCCCCTCCTGTTTTCTGGGTGATTTCAGGGAGAGATTCAGCAACTGCTGATTCTGGAGGACCCCCAAGCTGCTGCCAACTACTGTGTTAACTACATACCAGACTGTGACTCTGCTTTGCCCTACAAAAGCCGAGCCCTGGAGCTACAGGAGGTCAGTACTTCCACCAGTATGAGTCAATGTCCACTGGAAAAGCTCAGGCAAATCCTTCATACAGTTCTACAGTTGTTCATGTGATTGTGTTCCTCTAAGTCACTGAAGTATAAGTAAGGCCAGGATATGTAAATACATTTGTATTTATTTTGTCAGCAAGTGTTTCCACATACCCTTAGAGGCTCTGCATTTTTTTAGACATCAATATGAAGAGCTTCTATTTTGAGTTCTTATGTTAAAACATTATCCTGTTCTTTACGTAATACTAAAGTGAACTTGCTTCACAGCCAGCTGGTAAAAGGTGCAAAGCATGCCTATCAATAGACCTACAGTTCATGCCCCTAACTCTTGCATGATTTACAAGCAGACAACAACCCGAGCCAAGAAGAGGTCTGAGCACAGAGTGAGTGTACCGAGTGTATGCAAAGAGAGACTTGAGAGATTAAGGCGGAAAAGGCTATCAGTCAAAGGAGAAGTGTCTTCTTTCAAATGCTGCCAACAGTGGAGCATTCTTAGAGTCAAGTTCAGGATGCACACACAGAGACACACATACACGCAGGCACCCACGCACACACGCATAGACAGAGCCAAGAGCCGATAACTCATACATGATATAATGGGTCTCCCATCTCAGGGCATTCATGAGACTATTGAATCAATCATTGATATAAATGATTGTATAATTACATGGTGCTGCGAGAAAGAAAGGGGTAAGAAGGAAGGAGGCAGAAAGGTGTTACTGTGTGTGTGTACATGTGTACATGTGTGCCTGTGTATGTTTTAGCTTGAAAGGATACAGAGTTTAAACAAGGAGCTTATATTTATATGTACATGTCTATATTTTATGTGTATGCCACGTGTATACACTCTTCACACATTACTACTGCTTGCACCATGATTATTGATTATGCTGCAGAGATTGTTTCTTAATGGTTGCATGCAGCCATTTCGATAGCCCTCCAGCTGGATTTGATAACAACAGCTGAGCAATGAGCTCTGGATCCAGAACATGGCAACATCTGTCCCCCCACTGACCTACTTCCCATCATTCTCCCTTACACACTGACCTTGTTTACAAGTGGATCTTACTCACATCGCTGATGTCTTTTACAGACTGGGCCCTCAGCGTCATTTTCAGGCTCAGGCCAGTCATATCACTCACATGCAATGGAAATCACTCTGTAGGATGACTCAACCTATGTTTGTTTAGTTGCCAGAGCACACTGAGAACAAGCACCTCTGTAGAATTAAATACTAGGTGACCTCTGACCCCACAAGCAAATATATCCTCTGCTTTGACTCAGAGGAAACAACTCTATATTTGTTTGTCCCTTCTCATTTCTTGTTTGCTTTAGGTTTTTAACAGCTCTGTGGGAATCCAAGTAGGTATTCTGCCCTTTAAGGGCATCATGGGACCTGCTTGTGTCATTTAACTGTTGGTCGCTACCTTCTTTTTTTGGTCTTTCATTCACAATAGTGTTTGTCTTTTTACCCTGTGCCCTCATCCTCCGTTCCCTTTTTCATAAAAGAACACCTTACTTGGGGCTGATGCCATGATGCAAAGTGACCAGCCCACTGAACCACAGGAACACTCAGAGAAGGACAAGAAAGGCAAAAAGAACAAAAAGAAGAGGGAAAAAGGCTCTAAAGGCAAACGCAAAGGCAAGGGCAAAAAGGCATCCAGGAAGAAAAAACATGAGGAGGGTCTTGAAGATGGCTTCCTCAGGGTGTCCACAACACTGCCTGAGTATCTATCCCAGGAACCTTTTCAGCCACAAACTGTGAGCACCCTGGACACCATCATCCCCATTGAAGTCTTCTACAAATCCACCATGGTGATGCCCATGCATAAGCCTGACTCCACCACTGTGGCCCCCACTGTGGCCCCCAATGTGGTGCCCAGCGCTTTGCCTGAATCAGAGGTTACAGAGGAGGTAGACATGTTTACCGTTAGATTGCCTCCATCTCAATCCCCTCCTGCAATTTGTAGCTCTAACCGATCACTCCCCTAATCCCTCCTAACCATAGAGAGCACCTCTTACCTTCTTACACCCACCACCACTAACCTGCACCATCCTAATCATCGCCTGCTCCATCCCTCCCCAAAAACATGAAGAATGCATTTTAAATGAAACTATTTCTGTGATCATGCAATGTGTCTTTTGGCTGTGTGTGGTGTTGAATATATGTTTTGTAGAGCATGAGTTATAACATACATACCATGTATTTGAAAGTTATGGTATGCATGGTAAATACAGTATTATGTCTTTCTGTATGCAAATCTACAGAATGAGGATACATTTTACAGTTCAATCAAAGTGAATGTAGACCTACCGTATACAGGAATACTTGTCTCCTTCATGTTTATCATTTGCTTATTTACCAAGTAAACTCATTTTTCATGCTCACACTGTTTATGTAGCTGTTGCACTCTCTGCCATTCTGCCACATGAATGAAATGTAGTCCATCAGCAGACTGCGTTCCAGCACCACAATTAACTCGCACAACTGTCAACCTGTGGCCTGGATAATCAACACTTTCCCATAAAAGCCACCTGTTATACTAACATCCATATTGTACATTAAAAAATGTGCATTTACTCAGCAGCACTGGGCGCTAATGAGACATGCTCAGTGTCCCCTGGTTCACCTTTACTATGACTCATTTATGTCCATTCATTGGCCTGCAGGAGGGCATGCCAGTGAAGAATCCGGTGGTGGAGGAGTATGGAGATGACCTTTACGCACACCTCTATGATGATCTCTCTGTTTCCACGGTAACAGCGGGTCCGAATGTGACTGAATATGAGGTAGGTTAAATGCAAATTCGTCAAGTGTCTTCACCTCGCTCTGACACGCTGAGGGTTATTTTTGTATTCACTACAGCCGTGACTAATGGAGGTTTTCTATTCCCCAACAGACTCTTGAATATGACGATTTCAAGAATGACACAGAGTCGTCGTATGAGGAGTATGAAATGTATGAGAACGGCTTTGACTTCGCAGAGCGGGAAGGAGCACAAACGTGGGATGGAGAGGTAAATCTAGGAGTGAACTCTGATATCAAGTGAACGGTCACGTCTTCAATTGACTGTGTCGAGTGATTCTATTCACGCGTTTCTCCTCCTCAGACCAGCCTCAGAGCAGAGAAAGGCCAGAAGGGAGAGCCAGCTATTTTTGAGCCGGTAAGCTGCTAGAGGCAATAAAGGAACAGTGTGATAGCCTCTGATATGATTATGGAAATGGGTTGATAGTCTCCTGATGTACATATCGTTTTTGCTGTTCTTGTTTTAGGGTACATTAGTGGAAGGATCTCCAGGTCTACCAGGGCCACAGGTAAGCAAACCACTGCCTGAGAGAAAATAATTCATAAAAAAATAATGATAGTCTCTGTAAAAGTTCAGGATGTAGTAGTCTATACTGTGGCATAGAATTCAAATGTGCTAAATGTTGAGACATTTGGATTCTCGCCATCAGGATGCATTTATGTTGTTCCAAAAGGAAACAGGATTTTTTTTAGTTGTAAAACTTGTTGTCACTGTCAAGCACTTGAAAGTTTAGGATATGGTGTAGAAGAAGACAACACCCTGGCATATTCTATAATGCTTGTTTGATAGCTGTGAATGTTTCCCTCACAGGGGCTTGCAGGTCCTGCTGGACCAACTGGCCCTCCGGGACCAAGGGGAGATGCTGGTGAAATGGTGAGTCTGGCATACAGTAGGCCTAGTTCGATCCCAGTTTGACCCCTTTAGCTTGGGCTCAACAGTGACCTCACAATGAAAAATGTCTGTAGGATCGCAATGTCCTGCTTAACTAAACCTGCTGGACTCCAGGGCCGGATGCTGACTCATTCATGCTTGACCTGATTTTTCTTGTGTGTGTGATTGCTTGACAAAATGTGCTGGTCCATGATTCATCAAAATTGAACACACTCCAACACACAAACACACACACCCACACATGACAGATGCTCTGATAATTGTTGATGGTTTTTGTCATTTTACTTGGCAAAGTAGTTGTAGGAAGTGTATTAGTCTGCGGATCAGCATGGCTTACTGAGACATCATGTTCAGTCTTTGGACTCTTTATAAGTAGCTTTGCACAGTTCAGATTCAGGCCACATGATAGGTAAACATTTTTTTTCTATTTTGAAAATGTAAATCTGATGAGAGTCAACAAGGGCTGTTTTCACTGAATCTGACCCTGAGATACATTAGGAAAAGATGAACAAATTAAAATGTGTATTAATGATTTGTTAGCTGTGACATTCAAAACACATGAATGGACCATTTGTATTAATGTGTCTTGCCCTTCCTATCACACTTGTATTTATACATGTAGAACTTTGTATGCATTGTTTGAGCCTGTTTGGGGGGGTGTTATTCTTTACATTTTCAATGATGAAATTGTGAGAAGGAACCTGCATTATCTTTGATCTATTCGGCCGAGGTCAGACAGAACAGCAACAGGATACGAATGGCGGCCAAATTTTCATGTTGACAGTCTTACTTATATTCTGTAAGCATTTACAGCCTACACATTCCTCTCTATTTGGGTAGACTTCTAAAAGGCTAGAAAGAAGACATCACCTTTACTTGAAACTGTCAGACATATACATTTCAGTCTTAGCAAATCATATTTCCTTTCCAGCTCACAACATACTCTTGGCTCCTATCCAAATAAAGATGCTGCTATGAGGTGTCTTACACACATGTATTACAGCTACACAGACCTAAAACAATAATCACTTAGATGGTAGACAGATTTAAAACAATATATCCACAAACTGACCAAGATGAATGAAATCATACTAACACAACCTAGAGTCAATTGTAATCTAAACTGAATAAAACAAACAACTTGTGCACTATTATTCCTATAATACTTGATGTCTTGCTACTATGCAATTTGTAAGCAACAGCCTCCAGGTGCCTGGAACAATAGAGTCAAAAGATGGAGAAAAAAATCCTGCTTGCTCATTCTGCAGCATGAGTAGTTTAATACTAAAATCCATCCAGCAGTTATTGACACAAGTGAATTAGTTTATGCCTTAAAGGCTTTCTGTAATACTTACAGAAACATCCGGCAGACATTTCATGCTTTAGATCGAAAAACATTAACATGCTGTTTAGTTTCTTGTACACATCTTGACAACTCAGTTTATTGTGAATGTAGGACTATTATACACAACACCATAAGACATTTTTCATTAAATGTATTTTAATTACTTTAATTACTTAATTGCTGGAGAGTCTAACCCGACCAGAAGAATATATCTTAGCAACTCGACTACTTTTAGATAACTGCAGTACAGTAATCTGATGAACACAATCTTTATGACTCAATACCACCTTCAATGACTTCAATGGATGTTTTTTTCACATTCACATTTTTTCACATTGCTTTTAAACAGAAAATATAAATATGATCTGCCCAGTGGATATAGCACGAAGGTTATTTATTTTTACAGTGATTGGATTGCAGTTTTATTTTTTCTCCAGCAAGTCTCTCTTCTTATTTCTATTTTTCTCTGTTTCTGTATCTTTGACACACACAGAAACACACATACTGTACCACCATACAAACAGTAGCCGAAGCTTATCCCTTTCTCTGTCCTCTCTTTTCAGGGTCCCCCAGGACGTCCTGGACTTGCAGGCGTTGATGGGATTCCAGGTCCCCCAGGAACACTATTGATGCTACCAGTAAGACCTTAAATTACACCAGTGCTTGCTAAGACACACACACTAAAACACACAGACACACACACACACACACACACACACACACACACACACACACACACACACACACACACACACACACACACACACACACACACACACACACACACACACACACACACATAAACAGAGCACACCTTCTCCCAGTGTTGCGTAGTGGCATGACCACAAGGGGGGGCTGTGTGACTGAACTACATTTACATTTGGGGAATCCTGCAGTGGGAACTTATTTTTCAATTTTTATGCCTCCAGTTCCAGTATGGAGGTGATTCCCAGAAAGGACCAGTGGTGTCTCCCCAGGAGGCGCAGGCTCAGGCTATCCTGCAACAGGCCAAGGTAGAGTACTCAGAAATGCCCGAAGATCAAATGATAATGAATGTCTAAAGCTGCGTTTTGCAGCATTTGTAAACTGCTAAATTGTGTTTTTCTCCCTCCAGCTGTCACTGAAGGGACCTCCAGGTCCTTTGGGTCTCACAGGGCGACCAGGCCCGCTGGTAAGGCACCCTCTTTGACCTTGACCAAATTTGCATCACACCTCCAGTGCCCTGCACCCTTTGCCTCAACTTCACATTGTGTGTGACCAGGCATAACCTCTTCTCTCTCCTTACCCTCCTAACCTCATCAGTATTCATGCTCAGTATGTCCAATTTGTTGTGATTGTGAAATAACTACAGGGTTGCAAAGTGAGTAGAATTTTAAAATGATTTGCTGTGAGCTCATTTACATTTTGTTTGTTTTGTGCTAAATGTGAGTGAAAAGTTAAATGGCTCCTGTACATCATGTCATGCTTAAACGAAGTCTTGTTTTCATTTTGCAGGGTGTTTCAGGTCCCCCGGGCTCAAAGGAGACCACGGAGACAATGGCCCTCCTGTAAGACTTTTTATCCAGTACCTCTCTTTTATAGTCCCACTATTCTGTCACTCTTTGTATAACACCTTTTCACATGTTTCTTTTCCTTATGTCTGTTAAGGGGCCACGTGGGTTGCCAGGCCCTCTGGGAATCAATGGAAAGCTGGGAAAGAGGGTGAGATATCTTGAGTATTGCAGGTGTCAAAACCTCTGCATCTGTATCTTGTGTTGCATTGGTCTTGGTCTGATGCTGTACAAACATAACCTGTTTTAACTGGATTGTGTGTGTTGTAGGGGCGCAGGAGTGGACGGGGGTCGTGGAGCTCCAGGTGAAACAGGCTCTAAGGTAAACTCTTAGATGTCACATTGCACTGCATTGCAGTAGTGGTATCCCAACTACAGAGCCCATAGATTTATGTATTAACTGCACATTTTAATACCAGCTTAGTTTACCACTGTAGATGAGTGAACGCTACATTGCCAGTTAGTACGACATCATGATTGATGGTTGATGTTAAGTTTTTTATTAATTCACTTTCCGGTGTCATAAACTCAATAGTAACACATGTTTAGGCAGCAAGGTCTTGTAGGATGACAAACGCCACTTGCAAGTGTAAGCCTTTAGGTATCCAGCATCCCACAGCTTATTATATGTATTGACAAGGAGGCCACTCAATAGCCAACAGCTGCAGGAAGAGCTTAGTAAATAAATCAGGCTCCCTTGATGCTCGCTCTGACAGAACAGCAGAGTCTTTATCAGTCAAAGCAGCATTTTTAGCAGACCTACAGCTAATCTGAAAGCTCCCTCTGCCCAACACATACACAGAGCAGATGGGAGGCTCTGCCAGGGGAGACTTTCAGTACAATTCTGCTAATGTTTACACATTACCGTATGTGTGTGGCTTTCAGGGTGTAATGCACTTGCTTTTCTATTACTTTTCAGGGTGACAGGGGCTTTGACGGCCTGCCAGGTCTCCCAGGAAACAAGGGGCACAAAGTGAGTTAGATTTGGTGACTTGACATTGTTACTGTATTAATTAAGTCATTCAGTCACTAACAAAACAGCAGAGCATGCATGAATATCTCAAACACATCACACGGCAGATGTTTATTTGCATACATATTATCATCTTGCTGATTGTTGTGATTTCTGGAATGAGAGCATACACTTAAAGGCATCTGCTTGATATTGTTCTGCTATGAACAGAAAGGTCCTAAATGTCTTGGGGCTTTCTCCTAATGCTTTTATCTTGTAGGGAGACAGAGGAAAGCCTGGTCCTTCCGGGCCCATCGGAGAGGCAGGAGAAAAGGTGAGGGCAACAGAAAACACATCCTGCAGCAGTGCTTTGTTATAGTTATTTTTTTACATTTCACAAGGTTAAAAGGGAAAACCTGTCCAGATCAGTGAATCAGTTCTTCACACCATTTAGGCGGTAAAGAACCTGAAATCAAAAAGGCCTTTGCAGAAATTAATTTGAAAAAAAAAATGAAAATTGGAATTCTGCTACGCTAGCCTGAGTTCATTCAGTATCAAAGCTCGCAAAAGCTTGCAAAGCAGTGCATCCCTGACATGGAATTGAAAATATGAAAGATAGAAGCCCTGTCGAGATAGTATCAATCCATGCAGGAAGTGAATTCTGAGAGCGGTCTATTAGGCTTTGCTCAAAGATAGTTGAGCCTTATCTGTCAGGAAGCGAATTTCTTTAATGAGCTATTTTAACAGATTATGTCTGTGGGGATATGACTGTTTCTGTGCCTTGGGATAATGTAGAAGAGTGCATGAGATTTATGTAGTGAGTTTGTGTCTTTGTTATTTTAGGGACCTGATGGACCTGTGGGGCCAAGAGGGCAACCGGGCGAGCCTGTGAGTAACCACAACTGGATGAATATCATGCTCCCTAATGATGCCTGCACACACAGACCTACATCACTGCAAACTTAGATCAAAATATATTTTTTCTACTCTACTAAAATACTTAAGAGGATGAATTTGTCACATCTGTGAATTTTTTTTTTTTTATAGGTACCCTCACATAAAACCCTTTTCTTGGTGTAAAATCAGTGAAACAAAAGATTTCCGCTTTAAACCCTGAGGGGATTTTTGGAGATCACTGGATTTAAGCTCCAGCTGAAGCTGCTGCCAAAGTCTTACAGAAGAATTTACACAAGTAGAACATCTACAGCTCATACTGCACATGTACAAAAACAAGTGAAACACTGCAAAATATTTAAGAATGCATGACAACTATTTAAAAAAAAAAAGCTTGGTTGGTCAAATTTTATCAGTGCATTCTGCCACAGCGTTCAACCTGGCATTAAGAAAGAAAAGGTCACTGGAAGAAGACGTACATAAAGAATGGCAGAGCAAGCTTATATATCCTGTACAAAAATCGGTCGCAGACTACTTGTGATATAACTTTGGATCACTTTGAGTCCACAAAGACCTTAAGATGTGTTATTTTCTGTGTATCTCTGGGGTGAGCGCTGGCTGATTGGTTATGACTCAAACTCCATCTTTCTCCCAGTAGGTGAGGTTCAGGCTCAGTGGGGTTTCTGTCCCTCCAAATGGATCACCCACTGCAGGAAGAAATAGAGTGCCATAAGACATGTTAGGAAAGCTGTGTTTAACTACAAAGATCCAGGAAGGGAGAGGAGTTGGCTGTTTTTGAAGAGAAAAAAAAGGAAGCGATGGGAGAAGTGAGACATTGAGAGACAAACACGAGACTGAAATTTGGTTGGTGGTGGGAGAGATAAAAGAGAGATGGAGAGAGGAAAGAGAGGGAGTCGGAGAGGGAAGAGATAAAATCCTGGCCCGAATGATTATATTTCCATATCAATCACTTCCCAGGAGATCACAGATGTGGCTTTGGAACAGGTGGCTTGGCCAGCCTACAAAGAGGGAGGCTGACAAAAACAGAACACACAAATACAGGCTTGCACAGTCTCCGTGGCTACCACATACGAACCAGATGTGCCCACACACACACACACACTAAAATATATTATCAGTTGCTCCCTGCTTTTTTCCCCTTCTTCATTCTGATTTATGATTTAGTATTCCACACTCACTCCACCTCATCCTGAATTCAGGCTAGCTGCTGACTATTTGCTGTGTTTTGTCTCCAGGGTGCTCGGGGTCTTGTCGGACCAAGGGGGCCAGCTGGCCCACCTGGCCAACCGGTGAGTCAACAACATCTTGATTACAGAATCAGAGATTTCCAGTCTTGATTTCTATCAAAGGTCCCTTTCTTCACATAATCATAAATATGCCTCTGGGGATAAATAAGGGAGCTGTTGAACTGTGTCTCTTTTTGATGAAATTCATTGATTCTTTTCTGACTTTTTTCTTTTTTCTTTTTCTTTTTCAGGGTATTACTGGAACTGATGGAGTACAAGGGCCGAAGGGCAACCTGGTTAGTGCCACTATATTATTTAGATGGCAAATGATATAGCACTAAAGACACTAAGATGCTGAAAAAGAGCTGTGTGAAATGACGCTTTGGGAAACATTATTTGGAATTGGTCTCAGCCAAAAGAAAATGTTGCCACAGTTTCACAGAGCTGTGTGTGGCTCTCTGATCAACCTGTAACCTGCCATGTAAAGATGAGAGCATGGCAGAGATCATGTGAACTGTACAACTATCAGTGTTTTTTTTTTGGTTTTTTTTCAGGGTCCAGCTGGAGAAATTGGGTCCCCAGGCCAACAGGGAAATCCAGGAGTTCAGGTACTGTACCAACTCAAGAAGCTGTCACAATAAGGGTTTATCACACACCCTACACATTTATTTAAGGCATGGCGAAATGCTTCACCTATAACAACAACTATTTGCAAGCTTCCACTTTCATTAAACATTTGCTCTCTCTGACGGAATATTTTCTTTTTTTTTAAATCTTTTTTTTCGTTGCTTGAAAGCTGAAGGTTTGCTTGTCCTTTTATGGTTTTAGAGAATTCTCTGGTCTTTTAAGTAAATAAACCTTTTTAATAATCCGACTCATTAAAGTGTATTCAGGAAACAAGGCTGTTTTAATTACTTCATGAGAAGAACGTTTTTTGGAGATGAAAGGTTTTCACACCATAGCAACGACATGTAGCTTAAAAAGGTCATCAGAGACATTACATTCCTTTAACAAAGATTCAATCACCTTTCAACTTTTCCTGCATGTTGACAATCCATTCAACAACCGGCTCACACAAAGACATATACTTATGATGACAACCCAAGACACATACTAAATGCACACATACACACAGACACCAGTTTAACCTTAACTCCAATCTTTCTACTGGTCTTGTGACATTTAGCCTGATTGATGCTTTGTTCTGCTCTAGGGCTTGCCTGGGTCTCAGGGTCCCATTGGAGTGCCGGGAGAGAAGGTAGGTAGCATGTCTCCCAATTCATTTCAGAATTAAAGCTGTGACCTTGTGACCCCTGTCATCACATACCCAGGGGGAGTCCGCTAAGCTGGAGAGTACGGCCTGAGCACTTCTGGCTCCTTTTCAGACGAGACAGGGCTGGACAGGAAATCAATACACAAGAAACACACACACACACACAGGGACTACAGACAAAAGGGATGGCATTGGCCAGTGCTCATCATGAGGTTGATTAGACTGATAAAAGAAATAAAAAGCAGACCTAGTCATGAATGCAATATGTTTAGTAGAGGAGCTACAAGATGGGAAACGCGGTCTCTTAGTCATGAGTTAAGGTGCTACATCAGACGTTAAGCTAAACTCCACAGTTGATACCTATTTTTCCTTTACAGGGACCCCAGGGGAAACAAGGCATGCAGGGACTAGCAGGCATTGATGGCCCTCCTGTGAGTACACAGACATGGAAGAGCATGAATGAATGTATTAACACAATCACACACAGACCAAGAGCATGCATCTATACATGATTCTGCAAATCAAGTATGTTTATATTGGGGATCGCGTGCTGCTGCTGCTTCTTCAGTTAACTCAAAACAACACAACTGAATACAAACAGTAGCCAAGTATCAACTGGCTTACTTTATTCTACACAAGCAACAAATCATAGCTCATGTTGTTAATCAGTTTTTTATTCTTCCAGAATATTAAAAACATCCAGAACTGAATAATTACAAACAACTCAGTGTTAACTTTGTTAACTAAAAATGAGAGGGTACATGAAGACGAGACATTGATAAGCTGAAAAAAGATTATTGATGTTTAAAAACTGTGACAATACAATTTTGTTTTTGTTAATGTGATGAAAATTATACAAAATGTTGGTGATTTGCTGTCAGACAGGATAACGAGCGTTTACGAGCGTTAACGTGCTAACAATAGCATGAGTGAGTTGTGCCTTTATGTCATAATATCAGTAACCTTACAAGGCTTCCCAGGTTACCAGGGGTAGAGGTAAAGGGGGTAAAGTATTGATAGTACAGTAATATATTCACTGTGAGTTTGAGTTGAGCATAAACTAGACGAAAACTATAAATATGACTTATATGTGAATAAAACTACTCATTATCGTCGAAAGACGAAGACTACATTAAAACAGCTACAGCTATGAATTAGCAATGGTACAAGTAGAATCTTATTTCACCATGAAATGAAAGTCTAAATCATTTTTTACAAACAGTAAACCTCACAGGATGTACAGGATGATGTAACTCTGGAAAGCAACAGGATAAAATGTTTACCTGCCTCCACTTTTTGTGGACTACCAATAGGGCTGGACACTATGTATTTCTGGAACTGACCCAGAGTAAAGTGACATATACAAAAATAATAAAAAATCCTGATACAGCAAAGCTTTTTCCAGTCAGATCCATCTGATTGAGTTTCACCCTAATGCTCAGTGTATTGTTCTTCAAAGCTTTGTGATATTTTCATGCCCTTGATGTTTTTCTCTTTTTTTATTGATTACATTCAGAAATTTCCATGAAGGACTGATATAATGATGATGTATTTTCAGTTTTATTAAGTCGGTCTGATTTGTGTTTTTATTTTCCTGTTTCAGGGTCACCCAGGAAGAGAGGGCCCAGCTGGAGAGAAAGGCATACAAGTGGGTAACTGCAAATAAGTGTCACAGCAAAAAAAATCAAAATCAAAGTTATGCTCTGCACTCACTACCATAAAGTTCTACACATGCTTGTCCCCCCTTATTGTAACCATTGTGTTCCTACAACATCATCATCAAGTGTACAGGCTCATTAGAGCAGCATCATCCACTACACCACACTGTGGCTGAGTACAATGCTTCTTCATATCTGGTTAAAGAAATGCTTGCTGCTGCTTTGCTGATGTTGTTGTTCTTTTTTTTAAAATGTAGGGCTTACCAGGTGCTCAGGGGCCCGTTGGGTACCCAGGGACCCGTGGAGTGAAGGTAAGGCACAACTCATGATCTCAGTTATTATGTCTACTGAGATATTTATTCCCTTGCACATTCCATTCTGCGGGTATGTCTACCTGTGACGGACAAGCTGTTTGAGTCTTTGACTGACAGATGACAGGTGGAGGGAAAGCACCTCCGTTCTCAAGGGGACTGCTAACAACAGAGTGAGGAACATTTGACGGCTGGGAGAAATGAAAGCGTCACACAGAGCAGAGCTTTGTGTATAAGTGTTGAGCAGTCCATTCTGACTGTGTGTGCTTTTGAAATTGGGGTGTTAAAGTGCCGTTGTCTGCTCGGTGTTGCTTTTGTGGTATTCACACTTCTGGTTTTTCATCTGGTAGTTTGGCTCAGGGTCTCTCAGGGGAAGCCTGGCCTCGTTGGCAATCATTAGTATGAAATAAAAGAAAGGTCAATAACTGCTCGACAACAGAACAATGTTAGGTCAAGAGAAAATCCATACACGCTTATAAATCATGGCTAAGATTAAGATGGGGTATGTCTGGGAATACATGCAACTAGTGGATTTTTAGGCTTCTCAGTGATGTTGGATTCTTGCTGATTTATTTCCACTTATCACAGGGAGCAGATGGAGTCAGGGGTCTAAAAGGGGGCAAAGGAGAGAAGGTGAGTCTTTATTCATTTGCTTGATATCTAACTGGACACTCAATTGATTTTCATTTGACATGATTACTACTTCACCATCGCTCTCTGTCACTCTTCATTCATTATGCACTGATTTTTATGTCTTGTTTTTCTTCGCATTTACAATGCCTACCTCAGAAATAATTTCTCTGGGATAAATAAAATACTTTAAATTGAATTATTACATCACAGGGAGAAGATGGCTTCCCTGGGTCCAAAGGTGACATGGGCATCAAGGGAGACAGGGTGAGAGCGCCAACAAAGCACAAGCCTCACTATCATTTTCTCTCAGTTTTCTCTCTCACGGTTGACATTAATTTACCACTGTAATTCTTTACCTAGGGTGATAATGGAGCTGCTGGACCTCGTGGAGAAGATGGGCCTGAGGGGCTAAAGGGCCAATCAGGACCCCTTGGAGATGGAGGAGCTCTCGGGATAGCTGGCGAGAAGGTAAATTTGTTAAAGATAAAATTCCAAGATAAGGTGAGGAAGAAAGAAGGAGGAATAAAATAGGTGGCCAAATGCTAAGACAGCTCTTCTCTCAACCTGCATAACACAGCTATAGCCATTATAGAAGCATAGTTGCATTTCTTATCTGTTGTGAGGATTTTTTTTTCAAAAATACCAGACATATGGATTTTGATAACCTAACATTGATTACATCGACTTACATCTGATTCCTAAGGCAGAACAGCCTTAGGAATATCTTGAGATATCTTAGAGATATCTTAGAGATATCTTGCTGTATTGGCACATGCATATTCAGCAGTGAGTCATACACGTCTTAATTAAGTGGTTTTCATGCACTGTTCTTGTTAATATTCCTCTGGTTTATTTCCTCCTCCCACATTATCATGCCTGTGTCTCTGCAGGGTAAACTTGGCGTGCCTGGATTGCCGGGATACCCAGGAAGACAAGGTCCTAAGGTGATTTAGCAGTGATGAGCTATTATTATCAGTTAATGTGTCCTGTGGTTCCTTAAGCAAAGCTCGAACCAGCTAGATGTGTGTCTGTGCCTGGACTGTTTCCTGTCTGATTAAAAATAAAGGAAGATGAATGCCGTATTTTAAAAAAAAAGAAGGAAGAAAAAGCTATTTTATTAATAGTTCATTAGTGACATCAATTCATTACATGTTGATGAATGATGTATTTAAGTCTGTGTTGGGCTCATGGATTAGATTTGCTTTAATTTGATACAGTAGTTAATTATACGTTAATGAGATGTTCGGGGTATTGGGTGATGAATGGAACGCCGAGGGTGATTAACCTCTACGTGTGTCTGCAGGGATCTCTTGGCTTCCCTGGTGGGGCCGGGGTCATAGGAGAGAAAGGACGAAGGGTGAGGACTTTTTGGTGATTTGACACACATCACATTCGGACTCCTTCAGAATATCTTTACATAGGACAGATCAATAATTTGTTAACCTTTACAATGTAGGGTCCAGCTGGTCAACCAGGATCTGGGGGCCAAAGAGGTCCTAATGTAAGTACACCAATGGGTGATATGCCTGTATATTGTGTTTTATTGCATGTATATGAAGCTGTATCAGGCTGCTCTAACTAGATACTATCAGTTCACTGCATCGTGTGGGAGGCAGACTGTTACATCACTGCAGTGTTTTCACTTCACCAGACGTTTATCTTCCACCTCCAGATGAGTTCTGCATGTGCTAATCAGACTCTTGTTTGTTTTCCAATAGGGAGCCCGGGGGGGCAGAGGAGCGAATGGACCCACTGGAAAGCCTGGAGAAAAGGTGAGAAACACAAACCCACTCAGCCTGACGTAAACACAGACGCATGCACCTGCAGTTAGACACACACCTGGCTGTCTCATAAAGTATGGATGACTGAGCAGGCCGAGTTGGAACTGGTTGTTGCTGTTCACTTCGAGATGACAGGCCATCTGGTGCAGTGAGAAGCTACTGTTTGGCAGGAGATGCTTCAGTTTACGCTCTCTCCCTCAAAGAGCATCTTGGGAGAGCTTAAGATTTTTTGGAGAGAAAACTGAAAATGTTTGAGTGGCTCATGTGTTTGAACTGAAACTTTTCATCTGCCCTGTCCCCTCGGTAGGGTATTGCTGGACAAGACGGTCCCCCAGGATCAACTGGAGAACAGGTACTCTGCTGGTACTTGGATAATGGGCAAATACATCATCCAAATAGAATATAGATGTAAAATACACATTAGTCTTAGTTGGAAAAGCTCCAGAATTGTTTAAGACAGGGTTTTGACTATCTGTATTCATATATTCCAGGGTCCCCTAGGTCCACAGGGAAGAAACGGAGAACCAGGACCTAAAGGCCCTAATGTGAGCAAGATATGATGTACTGTGTAGTGTTTGACCTGTAAATGATACTCGTTCTTGTTTTTAATGCATCTCACAATTCATGCTTAGCTTTGGTCATGTTCAGTTCCTTACCATGATGTAAGGAAATGCTTCTTTTTCAGGGGCCACCTGGAAAAGATGGATTACCAGGTCATCCAGGCCAGAGGGGGGAACCAGTGAGTCACCTTTAATGACAATATTACTACTTCTCTGGTTAAAAGCATTTTTAAGTCTCATGCAGACAACTACCATGGTTTATGCTGTACACACTTCTTGTGAAGGTGAAATAACAGACACACCTGGAGGAATAACCTCCAATTTTACACAAACATTCACTCTGAAGAAAGGATGGACCATTTATAATGAGGAGCATGAGTGTGTCCGGACTTTTTTTGATGGGGGGTGGCCCAGCCAGGGCACTGACTAAAAGTGCCCTAAGTTTAATTCTTTATTGACACAAAAAGTTCAAAGCTACAAATTTAAAGTACTTAAACCCCTGCCTACTGTCTAATTTTCTTAAAATACATTAATTGGCAATGTTTTTTGCAAGTTAGTTCATTGCAGTAAGACTGTGTACATTACTTATGAAATAGATGTGCAAAGTATTTGTTTAATTTTTAAAGAACACACAAAAGAAAATATACTCCATTGATATTAAAAGAGAGCCTTTTGCAAAAAGCCCATAAAGTTGGTTTAAAATAAGTCCCACCTCTGAAATGTCCACTCACAGTTTAGGATGTTTGGGCTAGCACCCGGGGTAGCCAATCAGATTTCGGGGTGGGGGGGCATGCCACCCCTGGCCTCCCCTCTAGAAAGGCCCCTGAGTTGGAGGTCAAAGGTCAATGTCAAAGTGATCTCTAAAATGTTTGTTAATGTTTTGGATATAACACAACAATAGAATAAAGGAGTCCACATTATACACAAAATGGCAAAGGACTTTCACTATGACTTCATCATTTCCTTGAAAAAAAAAAATGTTTGCCCATGATTCCCATCCCATTTTTGCGAATATAATATCTTAGTAACACATAGAGGGTATTTCTACGAATGCACCACAATTATCAGTTGGTGGTCAAAGGCAAATGTCACTGTAATGTCCTTCCCATTCTCATCAATGAGATATACCAGCAATGAATGCAGAGTTTTATTAGCATTTGTTTGATTTGTATCTGTTTGAGAGAAGTAGGCCATCCATGTTCAGTTATTTGATAATTTCCTGTGAAGATGAGGATCTTCTGACAAACACATTCCCTGCAGAGAAAAACAGACAGAGGGTGATCTCTGGTATTATTATCCCTCCTGTGCAGGCTGTGTGGTGTGACCCCTCCTGTTTAATGTAGCCCTACTTGTGCTTCTGTTTTTATGGTTATGCATTCTTTTAGAGTTTTCTGAAAATACTATAAAAATGGGGCGTTGGATAGACTAGTGTTTATGTCGTACTCACCATATATAGAGGCTATAGTTCTTGTTGCAGCAGCTGGTTTGCACTTGCATGTCATCCCTCACTCTCCCTCCTCCCAAAATATCATGTCTCTCTTCAGCTATCCTATCCAATAATTACAAAACTGGCCCAAGAAATAACTAAGATAACAAAAAATCCCTCATCCCCTGTCCCAGTATTATCATTAGAGGGAAAAAACTAATGAATGGAAACTTAAACTTGACTGTAAGGTAAGCGACTTATTCTAATGTAGTGGAACAGCATCTGTGTGTAGGCATCAGTGATTGTGTTCTGGATACCCCATTGACTTTGTTTCAGCTCTAAATCAGGTCCCAAAACTCACTTGTTTTTTCTACAGGGCTTCCAAGGGAAGAATGGACCCCCTGGCCCATCAGGTGTTGTTGGACCACAGGTAAGAGAAGGTTCTGATTTGTGAGCTGTGCAACTGTTTGTCAGTAGAATTATTTTTAAACCTCCTGGTTGACTTTTCAGAACTTGTTGATAGGATGCAGCATAAACCGAGGAATGAAAACATAACATTATGAAGAAATCTGTATTTGACTCACTTAAATTAATTACTATTTGAACAGAATTTGTCATAGTTCTGCAAATATATCCAGACATGTATGGTGGTTGTGCTTTACATGTCAGGGAAGACTGAACTATTAACCTAGACAGCAGTCTGGGCTCTCCATGTCCCCTTCTAGTTCCATATATCTTGTTTTAAAATGACCTTTAGTGAGGTTCATTGTGTAATATTGATATTTTCAGGGTAAATCTGGTGAGACGGGGCCAACTGGAGATAGAGGACATCCAGGTTCACCAGGACCACCGGGTGAGCACGGATTACCTGGATCTGCCGGAAAGGAGGGTGCCAAGGTGAATGGGTTTCATCATAATGTTAGAATCATAATCACTTACCAGCATCCCCTTATTACTGTTTTATTAGATAATGCACAAGGACTCTCCCAGCACCGCCTGAATATCTTATCTCCTGGGTCTCATCGTATCCTCTAATTTGCTAATAAATAACAGAGGAAACCTCCGTGGTTGAGTGTATTATGCCGCCTTCTTAGCGTGACCTGCTGGTTGGTGTGATTTATGACAGCATAAAGGACCTGCTGTCTGCTGGCTACTTGGCTTACATTTAATCAAATATGTGTGTATGTGCGGTTTCCAGGGAGACCCAGGTCCACCAGGAGCTTCAGGGAAAAGTGGCCCCGCTGGGCTGCAAGGCTTCAGAGGGAGCAGAGGGACCCCTGGTGCAACGGTAGCTCAGAGTTCCATTCATCTTTTACATTGCTAATCTCATTGTTATCATTTACTCATTAACATCAGACTTCCAAAGATTTTTCAGCTTAGAATAAGATCACAATTCTAGTCCATAATGAAAAATGTGCTAATGCAGTTGTATAAATATGTAATTGATTAAACATTGTTTGTAAAAAAGCAGATTTTGTTGTTTATTCCGTGTCTCTCTCCAGGGTCCTGCAGGTCTGAAAGGGGGAGAGGGTCTACCTGGTATTGCAGGACTTATTGTAAGTCAGATTTCTAAATTGATTCTTGTCCATTCCCCTGATCTCTGTTCTGTTTTCATGTATATAGGACATATAGAGCAGGAGGCTGTTTCCATGGTGATCAGTGATCACAACCACCGCATTAAATCAAATAGTGAGTCATGTGACAAACGCACCTCACTGCTCTCTCTGCTCTTACTTCCAGGGTGCTACAGGAGAGAGGGGACCCGATGGACCTGCTGGCGCTATAGGCCAGCCAGGACGGTCCGGTGGAGTGGGTCCTGCTGGGCCAATGGGAGAGAAAGGCGAGCCAGTAAGATTTAGCTATTTTTGTTTCTTGGGCATCAATGTTAACTAACACAAACTGTACAATCACCTCCCACCACTGAGTTATAAACAACATGTACAACATGTGCTCTCGCTTTGGAATGTGGGAGACGAAGAGCAGGAGAGAGGTAAAGGGGACAGCAGGAGCAAGGGAGGGAGACAGTATGAATGTGATCAAGCAGGCTTTCTTGGGTCCGAGTTTCCTTTCTGGTGTGATACATAAATCAATGTGTCATTCTGCTATAAGGATAATAAGTGTTGTAGCATTTGTTAGATGTGTGCTGTTTTCCCATCTGTTCCCCAGGGAGAGAAGGGGCCTGTGGGGCCGGCTGGGCATGACGGGGAAGTGGGACCTGGGGGGCTGCCAGGGGCTGCAGGCTCTCCTGGGCCGCCAGGAGAAGATGGAGACAAGGTAGTTACACAACATTGCTGTAGAGTGCTTGCTGATTAGGGGTCTTTTGTGTTTGTGCATGTTTATATGTGTGCATTATTCCTCACAGGGAGAGATAGGAGGACCAGGCCAGAAGGGCAGCAAAGGAGACAAAGGAGAATATGTGAGTATGGATTTTATGCCAGTTATGCTAAACTATCATCATCACCTTTGTTACCAGGAAGTATGGGACAAGCCGGCTTTAATTGGTCTTTGGTAACTTATTGTAGTAACTGTTCACAAGGGCAGTGTATCCTCAGATGTGTTTATCATGTCTTTCTACAGTCCATGTAATTAAGCTGTGCATCTGCCTTTCCAGGGACCCCCAGGACCTCTTGGAATTCAAGGACCTGTGGGCCAGCCAGGACTGACAGTATGTTTTAGATATAAGAATGCAATGAAAGATACATCACTGTCTAATACGTTTGTTTATGTTGTGCAGTGTTAACAGCGCTGACCTATCTGAATATTCCAGGGTGCAGATGGAGAGCCAGGTCCTCGTGGGCAGCAGGGAATGAATGGAGCCAAAGGAGATGAAGGACAACGAGGCTTCAAGGGGGCATCTGGGCCTTCTGGACTACAGGTACGATTTACCATCATTTTCAAAAACTGTCTGAACTTTCATGATTTCACATTTTGAATCTGTTTGTCATTTCATACCTGAGGCTGCATTAATCTCAGTGTCTGCATTTGTAGGGAATGCCAGGCCCCTCGGGGGAGAAGGGAGAGAGTGGCCACGTTGGCTCAATGGTGAGTACTGCTCAGCAATATTAGCTCATTCAACACTCATCTAAAGCCCACTGCTGTGGTCCAGTGTCACTTTCAAATCTGTTCTCCACACCATTTCTTTTAATGTCTTATACTTTGCTGCATGATTACTATTAGATTGACTTGCTTGGTCTTCTCTGGTATTCAATATGAAGTTACATTCTCTTCACTTTCCAAAAACCTTTGAATATATTTCCTCCCATTTTCTTTTCAACTTCAAAAGCTGTCCGATCAATCTTTTTGAAGTTGAAACGTACAGCTTCTGCAAGAACTGTACATCTGCATTTCTGTTTCTCTTGATTATTTAACATCTACAAAGACAGTGGCCTTAAGTGTCAGGGGTTTCCGCTTATTAATACAGACAGAGATGAAATATTTTGTTGCCAGGACTGTTGTGTTGTACTGGATGTTTCTGAAATGAATGTGTTATCAATATTCTCACAAGGTGCAAGTTTGATGAGTGCGTTACTGCATGATGTAAATCCAATATAAAGAAAATGAGCATCCCTTTCATTATATTCCCCCAAATAAAGAAATAGATCAAGCACAAGAGTTAGAAATGAAACAAGACCTTGACACATTTGGTAAAACTTCACTTTAGACCTACATATGTTGCTAGAGATGACAAAGGGCAGGCATGATTATCTTTGAGTTAGACAGTAACCAAAACATAGATCTAGACCAATTTATTGGTTTTGTCTGACAGCTTTAAAGTTATTTAGTTTTAATGAAATAAAATTATTAAGTTTACAATTTATAACATACCCATCCCTAATCTATGATACAACAGGCGACATTTAAACAGGTAGAGCAAAAAAAAAGTAAAACAATTAAAACTTGACCTCAGTCAGAGTTGGGGATGCTGAGAGAAGGTCAGACTATATTATAACATCATGATTTATGATGACATTTATGTTTTTTTCTTTTCTTACTTTGAATGTCCAGGATTATCCGTGTCAAATCATGATTAAAATCAGTTTTTTGAAAGTCTTACACCACAACAGACTATAAATGTCTTCATCCCTCAAGTATTTTTCAGTCCAGTCTAAAAACGCTCCAGAGTAATGAGATAATGAGAGATATTGAGACATGCAGAGTTGGGAGGACATAATGATATCATAAACACACACAGGGATACTGACACTGATTCACCTCACGCTGGATCCATCCAAATGAGACAGTATCACTCTGTTATTGTTAGCAGAGACTTCAGTCTGCAGAAGCCTACATTTCATACACCTCAATGATGAACTGAGTTAATCTCTCTCTCTCGCTCTCTCGCTCTCTCCCTTTCTCTCTCTCTCTCTCTCTCTCTTGTCACTGTTGCAAGCCCAGCCTTTAACAACATCACCTGTCCCATTATAAAGTGTCACTGTACAGCTGCTGTAATTGTAAGCTCACACACTCCAGCTGTGGCTGACTGCATTGACCTGTCTCTCTGCAGCTCTGTGTGACAGGATGATCAGCTCCCAAAATATTTGATTATTTAGATTCACTTGAAAGATGTTAAACTACAGCAATGTGTAGGCAGAAAAAACAAAAATATTAAGCTCAGTCCTGCTGCAGTTGTATTTATTTTCAAGACAGATTTTTGATCATACATAATGATGGTGAAGAAAAGAAAAGAGATCTACTGGTTAAGATCCGAATCCATTGTTAGATTTTAACAAAAATAAGTAATATGTTTGTTGAAGTCCTCTTGTGAAACTTGAGGTTTTCATCACCTGATTTTAGGGAGTGTTCCAACAATCTTTACTTACAGCCTACAAAATTCACTTTACCATGTTTCCCTGGTCTGCCTACAACTCCCCCCCACCCCAATCATGAGAAAAGTCCATCCTCTCCATCTTTTGCCTGCTCCACTTTTCAGAAAATGTCCTCAAACAGGCCGTTTTCAGATTTTCCCTTCATGACATCACAAAGGGCAGTAACCCTCCCTCAGGTGGGTGACACTCCCACAACTAGGTGTTTGTTCTGCCCTCTGAGTCTGCCTTCTCATGGTAAATAATTGGTCATGGTGCAAGAAAGCCCGAGCCACCCAAGCCCTTCCAGAGAGGGGGCGTGGTCAGACACAGTTCATTTACATTTAAAGGTACAGACACAGAAACAGCCTGTTCTGAGCAGGGCTGAAATTGAGGGGTTTATACAGGCATGATAAAATATAGGATCAGAGAGGATTTTTAACAAGAAACTTCACACACATGTTTTGGGAACCACTGAAGCTTATTTAAACTGGTTGAAAAGGAGGATAATATGTGACCTTGAAGTGCACAAGATGTGACCGAAAATCTGTTATGGTGCAATGCACAATAGATATAAGACAGGCAGCATTAGCAACTCTCTCTTCTTTTTTCAGCAGCTCTTTATGCTAACTTCACTGTCTGTTGTATAGCTTTTGTCCTCACACTCACTCTGCCACAGCCTGGGTAGGTATGGCAAAATATATTATTCATTTATATAATATTAATTTATGCTATGCTGATTTTTAAACCTTATTCAATTGAAAACATTGGCTTACTATGCAGCTAACTATAAAATTGTGCGATAATTGTTATCTGAGAGCATCTTGAGGGCAGGGAAACACACGGTGGGCAGCTGCTGTGTCGAACTGGAAATCCCCTTTTTATTCTGGTGAAATCATTCACATTTACGACCCTCAAAATACAGTCAGCGACTCATTGACCCTAGTTCTTAAAAGGTCTCGATATAATTAAGACCAGTCCCGTGTTAAACAGTTGCACAAAAATGTAGACTAACCTATTAAGATAAATACATTTAGAGAATATTAGAATACGGGCTACAGAGCTGTGTTTCTTTTTTTAAAGGCTTCTGAAAACTTGCCTTTGAGTTGAGGGAATGAAGAAAGTAGTTACCGTGTGTTTTGCTAACTGTAGATATGTTTTTTCAAAGCAGACCACTTAACTTGTCATAACAGAAAGAGCAAAGGTGACGCTTGTAATGTTCATGCTCGGCTCCAGGTAAGTATCCTTGTGAGCCACGTCAGCAAGTCATCATGGAAATGTCAGGGCCCTGTAAATGGCACACTTAATTTTATGCTGCCATTATTCTGAGCTATTATTCTAAAAGAACAGACATATCACTGTTATGACATAATGACACTTTAAACAACTTAACAATGCTTACACTTTGTCAGGTTTGAACTGTAAATCAAAGCAAAGAATATTTGACATTAGCCCTGTTAAGTAGCTCTGCTAAGAAGGTGATGTCGACCACTTTACTATGGCATGTAAGACACACTGTGTTCTTAAGCCTGCTATGAAAAAGTAGTCTTTACATACTCTGCAGTCAAATGCTGCCTTAATTCTGTTCCTTATAACTCTACTGTGTGTCTATCTACATTAGTTAGGTCTTCCAATTATTGTGTATAATTATAGGCATATAATTAATGTGAAAAGACAGACAGCCTTTTAAACCTGTAACAATCTCAACAAGTCTTTTCAGTGTGTGAGAGATCTCCAAAGGCTGAGTGAGAATGACTAAACAGACCATCAATTTGTGGGCAACACAGATGAGCCCAGAGAAAGAAGAGGTGGCCCTGTATGTAAAAGGCAGAAAAGGATAAAAACAGAAAAAGGGAGAGGGTGACACAGAGAAGGCAGTGGAGCAATGGAGTGGAAGGAGGAGGCGGGGCACTGATTGTGAGTAGGAAGACGGTGTGACAGCTGCTAATCAGATTAGCCTCAGCCTTGGCTGTCTAATGAGCATCCTCCTTTGTGACAGTCATCTCACAACGCTGTCAACCATGAACACGCGCTCAAGATTCTCTATAGCCCCTCTACTCTGCAGCCAGATTAGGGAGGGAATGTATCAGAATGGAACCGAAGCAAAAAAAGGGAGAGGGAGAGAAAGGGAGCCAGAAAGAGGAGAGGAGAGATGCTGAAGACTCAGTGGGGAAGTTTCATTCATGTGTGAGCGTTGCGGATCACAGAACTCTCCCCTCTAATGCTCAAGTATCTCTCGGCCAGAAGGATATGTGTTTCCTCCAGTCCCACACAGTCTCTCTCTGGGCTCGATTGTCTGTGTTTCTGTCTTAGTGTCTTTACAATACAAGATTCCCTCCAAGACTTCAGAGTGATTCGGAGCACAGCTCAACATCTACTCAGCTGAATCTGAAGCCCAGCACAGCTAGGATTAATTGCTTGGCACTCTTTTGAGCTGCATAGAAAAGTCAAATCACATGTCGTTACTGCAGCTGAGAGAATATGGTCTGGCACATTGCAGGCTAGAGGTTTCTTATTAATAAGAGAGAATATGTGAGATGGGGGCTGGGTTTGGGGGGGGAGAAAGAATCAGAGCTTGTGTCATATTGAGGGTAATGACCTGTCTGGGTGTCTTCATCATGTCACCAGGATAATGATCAGAGATACTTGGGCCATTGCATAAACCATCCACCATGGGCTGAATCTAACTCATTTAATATAGGAGGCGCCAGCAAAACCCCTCATTCATATCCAGTTTGTTTTTTCTGTTTTTTATTGATGCAGAGTTTCCTTATTGTCTCCACTGAAGTCCTAATTGAAACATTTAATTTCTCTCTTCACAGGGGCCTCCAGGACAGCATGGCCCACGAGGCCCTCAGGGACCAATTGGTGGAGAGGTAGAGTGTGTTTCTTTTTCAATCACTGATCTGTATTTGAGCATAAAGCAATATATAACAGAGCAACCATATTGGAGTGGAAAGAGAGGCAGTCAATACACATTGACTTTCATTTTGCTCAAAACAATTTAAGTGAATATGCAAAGAATGCACAAAATATTAAACAAATGCACCAGCATGATCCAATTCATTTGATAAATCCAATTAGAATAATCATCTTAATAAATGTTTCAAAGTATTAGAATTGTCAATAAATAATTAATTCATCTACAAGTTAACATGCCTCCTCTTGTAAGACTTTGAATTAATGAAATACTTTACTGTAGTTTAATCTTTCCTTTTTATTTTTGAAACAAAATCATTTTTTTCCCCATTCATTTAAATTATGTATTTTAAAGACTTTCCAAAAAACTGACTTTGACAATTGCACACAACCTGTGAGAAAGTTGGAGTGCTGGTGTTGTCAAATAATCGTGTGTAGCTGCATGTCTTTATGAGTCATAAAGAAAACACAATGTTGTATCAGCTGTGGAATCAAAGAGACTCTGAATACACATTTAACACACAGCGTTATCTTGTATCAAAGTGAACAATAGCTTATCCTAACTGCACGGCACTTGATATTTTTAAGACGCTCACATCTTCATACACAGTCTCTTCATATGAACACTTCTTGCCACAGACCCCCCCCTGCTTTTGAAACTTGAATTATTAATTGGTATAAGAATACAATCCCTGTGAGAGGGTTATATTTACTGCTCTATGAATCATTAAGAAGTAAAAGACTATCATCAGAGGCAGTTATATTTACCTCTAGTAATGGCCGACCCTAGTCTACAGCCTCTTACCGCGGTCAATTATTCAGCAGCGAGCTGCAGAATCCGTATGAGCAACGCTAGTGCTCCATCACAGGATGCATGGAGACATAGCTGAGCAGAGATGGTGGGATTCATAAATGGTTTGATACAGGAATAGTGGAAAATAGCAAAATGGGGAGGGCTGGCATATGAGGGAAGCAGTTGACAGCAGGAGCTCAGAGTTAGTGCGTGGCTGAACTCAGCCCTCATGTTTGTGCACTCTAGCGAAAAACATGCTTTTACTGGGTTCGTACTGAGACACAAAGCCCAAAACACTGACACACATGCATGCACACTGACATGCATGCAGAAATACACATGCACAAGCCAACAAACAAAATGATTGAGCGAGGGGAAATAGCACACACCCTACTGTGTGACTCAGACACCATCCACTGAGCAAACCTGACACACAATATTTCTCCTTGTGTTGCGATTATTCTGTTCCAGTTTCAGCATTGGGTGAGGGAAACTGCTGACAAACAACAAGAAAATAATCTGCATCACAAACCTGATTCTAAAAAAAAATCAAATGCATATTTCAAATATGCCCTTGTTTTATGATATTTTTGTTGAAGTTGTTCTCTCTCCCTGTCGCAGGGTGCACCTGGTATGCCAGGTGGAGTCGGTCAGCCTGGAATTGTCGGAGAGAAGGTGAACATTTCCAAATAGCCACTACACAGTGTGTCAATAAGCACATACTGTACATACAGTGGATGGGTGTTGGTTTATTTCTGTGGTCTTGTGTGCAAATGTGTGTGTGTGGTGTTTTCATATTACCAAATGTTCCTCGTCTATCAGGGTGAAGACGGAGAAGCTGGAGATCCAGGGTCAGCTGGAGAGACCGGTGCTGCTGTGAGTCATGTTGCCTCAATCTTTACTTTCTTGGGCACTTTCTCTCATTGCCCTTTTCATTGACTGTCATTTCATATGCTGGTGTCTCAGGGTGCCAAAGGCGACGTGGGGGAGAAGGGTGACAGTGGCCCTCCAGGTGCAGCTGGGCCTTCCGGACCCAGAGGAACACCAGGGGAGGACGGACCCAAAGGCAACCTTGTGAGTGTTTGTCTCTGGAGCCGTTGCCTTTATTTACCCTGGCAGTCAGTCTGTTAATGTCATCTCAAACATAAGATGGTTGCTAGCTCATTATTTGTGTGTAAAGGGCCCTATTGGATTTCCTGGAGACTCAGGACCCCCTGGAGAACCTGGTGTCAATGTAAGTATCCTTATATATTTTTTATGACTTATTTTTCAGTACTTTATAGTTTGTCAATTTTGACATGCATTTTTTTCCACCCAGGGAGTGGACGGTGGATCGGGGCCTAAAGGAGACAATGGAGAACCAGGCAAAGCAGTAAGTAGGATTTTAGTACCTGCAAACCAATGTTGACAATACGTGTAGCTCTTATATGCTCTGATGACGTATTTCTCCATGACCTGCTGAGGTTTTTGCTTTTTCATCATCATGTCTGTTAATGTCACTTTTTATAATATATTCATGTTAAACTGGAGTCCCTTTTTTTGTTTTCCTCAGGGACCCGCAGGAGCCTCTGGAGAGCCTGGTCCTACAGGTCCTCCTGGACGAAGGGTGTGCTAAGCATATTGTTAATGTTTATATGTATAGTGTTTGTAGATATAGGCATGCTTGTGTGAAAGTAAAAGGTGTTATCTTATCAGCCATGTTGTCTTTCTTAATCACAGGGTCATATAGGAGCTGCAGGAAAAGAAGGGAAGCAGGGCATGAAGGGAGGAAAGGTAAGGACTGGTTTGTTGTTGTTGTGTTAAGTGTCTTTTATCTTGTTGTATTTAACACCTGGCTGTCTTTGTCCCTTTGCTCTATAGGGGACCCAAGGAACTCTGGGTCCTGTTGGGAAGACAGGCCCAGTGGGACCTCAGGGACATCCAGGTAATTCTGGTCCAGAGGGTTTTCGAGGCATCCCAGGTCCAGCTGTGAGTATACCAAAAACTGCTGATTTAACCACACACACACACACACACACACACACACACACACACACACACACACACACACACACACACACACACACACACACACACACACACACACACACACCGATTCTTCCTCTATGTAGTCTGAACCTACACCATTTAAGGAACACATCTGATTTTTAATCATGTTGAATCAATGCTGTGTATAATTTAAGCCAATCTCTAAATCCTGTTTTCATCTCAGGGGGAGCAAGGGTTAAATGGACCGCCAGGACAAACAGGACCACCAGGACCACTAGTAAGATCCTTGTATTTAGCTAATAAAGCCTACCCCGAGCAAAAAGATGTGGGACATTAATAGCAGTAAATTTGATGCTGGAGTCTACAGGCTAACTAATACATTTTCCTTTGTTAACAGGGACCACCAGGACTTCTAGGTTTAAAAGGAGACCCTGGAAATAAGGGAGATAAAGTGAGTGTTTAGCCCATGACAGAGAAAACTCCCTGTCTCAGTTTAAACTCTGGGAATCAGATGTAATGAAGCATGTCTTGGCCTGCAGGGTCACGGTGGGCTGATCGGTCTAATTGGACCCCCCGGAGAACCTGGTGAGAAGGGAGATAGAGGCCTGCCAGGGAACCAGGGTACACAAGGGCCTAAAGGAGATGAGGTACACATCTCTGTATAATGCATCTCATTCACTACTACACATGGTAAGTTCTTTCACTGACAACATGTGTTTGTTCCTATTTATAGGGTCTGGCTGGTACCAGTGGTCCCACTGGCCCATTGGGACCCCCAGGACTGTCAGTGAGTGATTCAGCTGCTTCAATGACATAGATGTTTTTGTATGATCAATGACTGAACTTTTCTGTTTCAAGGTACCTCAATACATAAAACAATCTGTATATATGTATCAGTTTATTTACATAATGTTAATCATCTAACTGCATAGTATCACCTCTCGACTCATTCAAGTATCAGCAATAGAGAGAAATGGATGAGTGCTGGAATTGTCTTGAAATCAGAAGAAGTTGCATAGGTAAAGAAAACATTGATTGCTAAGCCAGGCAGTAGTTTGGAATAACTGAACAGCCTATATAAAGGTCATAGCTGTGGTGTTCTACTTTCTGTTATTACATTTGTGCGTGTCTTTCATGTCAGGAATCCATCTTTGAATATTAAACAATCCTTTCGCATAGATCCTACCAGGTAAAAAATCCAACTGTCTCGCCCAAACACAGAAAAACAGTCACCAAGTTTGTCATATCCTTCCTCTAACTTTGTTTAAGTTATCTTAACCATCTCAGGGATTTCACTAATAATTCAATCCTAGCTTGAGAGTCTAGCTTCGGTTCTATCCAGAGATCTAGTATCCTTTTATTTCTCACTTCTTCTCTTTCCAGAAAATGAATAATTTGGAATATAACCTGTATCATCTTTAAGCAGGTGTTTAAGATTTTCTATTAATCTATTACATGGATATTTGTATAGGGGGGCTGCACGGTGTCGCAGTGGTTAGCGCATTTGCCTCATAGCAAGGACGTTCCTGGTTCGAATCCCTGTCGGACATGAGCCTCTGTGTGGAGTTAGCATGTTCTTCCTGTGCATTCTTTGGTTCTCTTCACAGTCCAAAGACATGCTCTTCAGTCATCTCAGTTAATTGGTGACTCTGAATTGGCCGTCTGAATTGAACAATACAGGATACAAACTGTCATACAAGAAAACAGGAAGAACAAGATCATAAATGACTACAACACTGAGTCCTCTTCCTAGGATATAATTACTTTTTTTTTCTTTTGCTTACTTTCTCCTCCTTTCTACTTTTAGGGTGCAGCTGGTGAGAAAGGATCGAAGGGAGAGATGGTGAGTCCAGTCATCTGTCTTATTTACACTCTGTCATTCCTGTACACACACCTAAGCTTGGTTAGCAGCTGCTGGGAACATATGCTGGGGAAGAGAGAAAAAAGTGTGTCTGTTGGCTTAAATGTAGCATGCTCCATAATCATAATGCTGTTTGGTGTTTACTGCATGTCTTTGGAACTAAAAGCCTGCTGTACAGCCACGCTTGCCTTGTGTCAGATTTTTCCATTGGGCCCTTTTTAATAGGATCTGGTTTTGGCGTGTGTGATGTTATGAAAACCACTATAGTGTGTCTTGAGAGCCAAGGCTTTGACCACAGAGTGCTGATGCACATAGCTGGATAATCCTATAAAGCAGCAGCCATATCTGTCTGGATAAAGCTGGGATTTAGCCAAGTGATGTGAGAGGGGCTCCAGGTGAGATCTGCATGACACTGAGTTTTGTCTTTTTCTGCTCCCCAGGGTGTTGTTGGTCCCAGAGGCGATCGAGGCGCTGCTGGCCCCCCAGGACCCCGAGTGAGTACGGCCAATGATCCACATCATGGACATAACAGCACCACCTTTTTTCTCTCTTCCTTCACATCTCTCCCTTTCCCTTTCACCTCTTGTTCACCTGTCTGTTCTCTCTTCAGGGACTGCCCGCGACATTGGTTCAGCCCCTGCCAATCAGGGAGGGCAAGCGGAAAAGACGGAGACACTCAGACAGGGACAGAGGAGCATCCCCACCCAGAGAGGAGGATTTGGATCTAGATATGGACGAGTTTCTCCAGGGAGATCAGCCTCTGGAGGATGCTGAGGGAATGGAAGAAGTCTTTGCCACCCTGTCCTCCATGAAGACAGAAGTAGAGGTAATGAGAAGACCCCTGGGAACCTTTGAGAGCCCCGCCCGGACATGCAAGGAGCTTATGATGGTCCAACCCAACTATAAAGATGGTAAGCAAATATATTGTTTTTAAATTATTTTTTCACCATCTTTTCTGATATTACTTTTTCTTTAAGCTGCACACATTGGATTTTTTTCTTTTCGTATACCCTTTGTAGGTTGATTTTTTTCAATAATTTTTGCCAGCTGTCTTGTTGCCCCAGTTTTCTTCATTATATCCACATCTGCTGCTTGATTGATGTCCTTTCTCCATGCTCTCTGAAGGGGACTACTGGATTGATCCTAACCAGGGCTGTCACCGAGACTCCATCAAGGTCTACTGTAACTTCACAGCCGATGGAGAAACATGTCTCTACCCTGACAAGAGGATTGAGATGGTAAAGTCTCCAATCTCTCGCTGTCAGCCTTTACAAAGCCGACCTCGTCATATCATATCAGAGCACAAATCACTCCCTCTATCCCTCAAGCCTTAAATTTGACTCAGCATCCTCCCTTTCTCTCCCGCTGTGTGTCTAGGTGAAATTAGCAGCCTGGAACAAAGAGAAGCCAGGAAGCTGGTTCAGCCAATACAGGAAAGGCAAGCAGGTACAAAATATAAACAAATAACCTACATTATAGCATTACTCTCATCTGGATCCAAATGCCAGCCAGTTTTCACCTGAATCACTCATCTTAATTAAGAATGTTCAAATAATATTTATGCATATGATTGAGTTTCCAGCATTTATACGAGGGGGTTTACATAATTGTGGAGGAGGCTTGCATGCATGTCCATCCATGTGCACATGACTGAGTGTGAATCCATTTTATTTATTTGTCAATTTGTGCATCGCATAATTTGGTATTAATTTATTGGACCATGTGCAAAAAGGGAGCTGATTTGATGTTGCCAGCAGCTGATTTCAGCAGTCTGGATGACTCACACCAAGCAGCTCTGTCTCATTGACTCACATTCAGGGCAGCACGCTCAGAGCACCGGCCTTTCATCTGCACCTGATCAGATGTCTCATAACCCTCTCAGATTATCATGGAGCTGCCAGCACAATTGCAATTCATTGAATTTCCTCTCCTCTATGCTTTCCCTTTCTTAATTCCAGAGAGAAGCTGTTGTAACTTTTTGACCTGTGCTTACATAAACTCCTTTGTAAGCACATATTGGGAGATTTGTAATTTCATCTTTGTTTTACACAGATTATAGGATCAGGCATGTTTTTTTTGGGGGGGGGCTTAATCTCTTTCGGAGAAATCCAGTTTTTGTGTATTTTTTTTCTATCAGTTAGATTTAGTGGTTTTTATCGAAATGCTCTTTTAAACTTGTGGCTGTAGTTTAATGTCTGCTTATGAAGTACACTAATGCCTGTGTGTCTGTGCCATCCAGTTCACCTACAATGACAGGGATGGGAACCCTGTACATGTAGTACAACTGACTTTCCTAAAACTACTGAGTGCTACAGCCAAGCAGAGCTTCACCTACACCTGCCAGAACTCTGCAGGATGGTTTGACAGCACCACCCACTCCTACCAGCATGCACTCCGTTTCCGGGGCAGCAATGATGAGGAACTCACACAAGCCAAAAGTCCTTTCATCAGTGCAGTGCATGATGGATGCCAGGTCAGTGCAGGAGCATGAAACTAAAGAAACTAATGTGTTTATCAATGGTGATGCTTTGGTCATAAGTATGTGGCCATCAATTATCCCACAAGAATAGCCAAGAGATTGGGGATTACTATTCCACCGAATTAGGGCCAAGCAAATTCTAACAATGACTTTAATTTTTCTTTTCGCAGTCCGGCAAAGGTCAGGAGAGGACGGTTCTAGAGATTGACTCCCCCTCCGCAGAGCTACTGCCTATTATAGATGTGGCTGCAACAGACTTCGGCAACAGCAACCAGAAATTTGGATTCCAAGTTGGACGAGTTTGCTTTAATGGTTAACATCACGCCCAAAAACAAACAACCAAAAAATGGACCTTGACAGCAAGTTTTAGTAAGAAAACTGGACTTTTATCACTGCCCAAGTAATATTTATTTTATTCTGTTCCTTTATGTGGTTGGCCTGTGGTATGTCATTTGAGACTCTTCCACTGCCAATGAAATAGGTTTGTGGCTTTACAACAATGAGAAGAATGTCAAGAACAAGGACATGCATCAGTGGGAACAAAGCACATTTACTAAAGGGAAAAATTCCAGTTAGATGTATTTAATTTTAAGTGTTTTTTAATCTCACTGTTTGTGCTGTATTCTCTAGAATAATGCGGATTACACCACTTTTTAGAAAACATGTCCGATATGTCCCATCACTGAAAGGAATAGTGTGTCATTCCGTGGTATGGGATCAGTGAAGTGGACCTCTTCAGACCATGGATGAACTAGTTGCTGCCTAATGTTTTTAATAGACTGAGACTGAAATAATCCGAGCAAAGAGATGTTGTCTTACTCATTTGTATGCTCACATTTCCCCATAATGACAATCGAATTGCAGTTGTGAACTAGCCTAGCATATTAATGTAACACACGCAAAGTAATTAATTTCCTGTGTGCAGGAATGATAAATTGTCCTTTTTTACCCTTCAACTGCAGTTTGCTCAGTGAATAACCTCCATTAGTATTCAACAGGCGTAGCTAGTTATTGAACCCAACACTTACTTGAACGGATAAGGTTGTTTCCTTCATTGGACGGCCTCCCTCCTTGGGCTTGATAATACTCATTTTGAGCCCTCTACAGTATGTTTCTGAGGACTACAGTCCTGTCAAACTTACATTCCTCCTACTGTGGTGTTTACTTGCTGTGACATACCTCAGCAACATGGTTGGGGCTATTTCAGGGCAAAAATTAATAGCATGCTGATTATAAATGTTCTCCAGTCTAGTCGTGTAGTCCTTTATACAAAGAGACATGTCACGCATCTCTTGAAAGCATTTTGTAACTGCTGACATAACCTGTATTCACTTTTCTGGCCCACTCACTGTTATTTGTTTCACATGTTGAATTCAACAGAATTATGTGGCTGTTCATTTGACATGATTTGCTCTTCAGTGGTGCTAAAGATGATTCTGTTATTTTTATTTCAATGTGTTTGTGTGTCTCTGTGGGCAGGATTATAGGACGAGAGAGGGAGGAGAGGGTTATTGCTCTTTCAGCAGCACAAAACACCCTCCGAGGCTGGGGACTAGTCTACTGTGTTTTTTTGCACATCTTCTGGCTGATTGTGCCAATTTCACAAGGCCAGTGAAAGGAGGGCAGGGACAGTACAGAGCAATGTGGTTTATCGCTTTGAAGGGAAAATCCATTCTTAAACTGAACTCACAGTTTGCTGTTCCACTGGTTTTAAACAGTAAATCAGCTTCTGCAATACAGACAACTGTCAACAAAGCGTAGAAATCACTGCATCATGACTGAAGTTTTGGATGTCATCAGGTAGCATTTTGAGAACATGTGAAAAAAATCTGCTTGAAATTTTTCATTTACAAACATAGAGCTGTGAGTAAGAATTAGTCCTTATGTCCCTGTTAAATTACCATGGGTGTCATTACAGTGCCGTGTTATTCTATTATTCACCGTCTGTGGAGGAGCTCCAGGATTTGTTTTTAGATGACATTATTACCACAGTCTGTCTCTGCCTATCGGCTTAAACGGAGACTTCAAATAAACAAACAGAGCCGTGAAATATCACTGTAACCACAAATGGATGTGATCCTGTTTTACTGTTGGTTTTCCCTTTAGCAAATGACATTTCTTCACAGCTCTGCCTGTATCCTCCAAGTCAAACAGTGGACTGTCTATCCAGCGCTTGTTATTTTGTAACTAACTCCTGCTGTTCTGTTTGTTTCATGACATTTAAACATTCCAGTTATTAACCCAGCTCCTTCTGGCCCATCCTGTGCTGCCCCTGCTGTGTATAGTGTTTGTTAAACTAATTTTATATACTGTACAGTTATTTGGAGGACTTTATGAGCAGTTACCATTTGCCTGTATGAAAAATGCATTTGTCAAAATTTGACTGTTGAATTAAAACAAATAAGAAATCCTTCTTCCTTCTGTTTTCTTCCTCTTCAGAACCATGTAGGCGGGTTAGAACAATAACCATGAGAGCGTGTGGCCGTCTGCAAAGTCCAGTCAGGGTGTAATAGACAAACAAGGCTCTTCATTACAAACTAGTTCTGCAACATTCGCTCAACAAGCTTGCAATCAGCATCCCAGCACAGCCGATGTAATCAACTCTGATTTGCTCTCCAGTTCATTTATTTCAATTAGCTCTGTTTCAGTCCTCGAGAGGGGAGGAGACAGGCAGGGGGGAGGATGGGGGATGAGAACAAGAGAAGAGGTGGGTTAGGAAGTAGCTGTGGATTAGAGATGCAGCAGAAGAGACGGGCTCTGGTGGATGTAGCGAGAGTAGTTTTATGGATATTTATGTGTTCGAAAGAAAAAGACAAAAGGAAATGGTAAAAAGTCCAAGTGATTACTTTGTTTTAGACAGTGTCTGACTTTGTGTTTAAAACAATTTCATCATAACCGTTTCCACACACTCTCTCTGCCTGCCTACTTATTTCTGCTGCTATCACAAACACACACAATAATTGCTTTTTTTGCTGTGTTCACACAGACTCAAACATGCACACAACACAGTCGTGTACACACACACACACACACACACACACACACACACACACACACACACACAACCTAAAGCCTATTCCTTCTCACACATTTAAGTACAAGGCGCTCATCCCCTTTGGGGCCCGTTGTTCAAGGTTAGCGTCAAAGGCAGAATAAAGGTTACCATGTTATTTTTTTCTTCTTTCTCTCCTCTTCCACTCAATTGAATTTTTAAGCACACTAAGCTCTTGACCAGGAAAGGTCATCGGTTCCCACTACCTCAGAATAATGATCAAGCAGAAGAACAGACTGACTATCAATATGGTATTCCACACTTCTGTGCCCTTTTTCCCGAGCCCACATCCCCTCTCTGGTGCCCCATGTCTCTGTGACATTGTGTCTGCAATGTCTTCTATATCTTCTGCTGAGAGCTCAACCTTTCTTAGATGGCATAAATGCTGTGCTGGGCATTTAAATTCTCATACAATAAAATCTTTATTATAGACAAGTATAACTATTCACACTCAGAATGGAGTTGTCAAACATATAACAAAATCATATGGAAAACACTGATGCATAGTCTTTGAGCTACACAAAGATAAACCAGCTTGTGCAACGTATCGAGAAGAGCCCTTCATCCTGCTGATCCTGGAGCTCAGCTTTGTGAAAGCTTGTTGAAATCCCATGGAAATAGACCGCCGTATGAGGAAACTTCTACTTGATGATCACAAATACAAACAACTAACATTCAACAACACTAGAAAGGCATTTGTCAAAAATCCTGAGCAAGAAAGAGGAAATGCTCTTAATGTATATTCTTTATTACTGAATCTTTATTTCAATTTTACAATTAGCTACAGTTAAAAAAGCATGGTTACACAAATAGCTATTTCTCACAAGATGTTCAATTTCTTAATGAACTTTAGATTTCCTTAAAAAACCTGTTTTTTCAAAGTAGGTAGATTACTTTGTATTGTCTTGTCCGTGAAGCTTAACAGTACAATGTTATACTCCTTTTCAACCAGTTTAAACCAGTTTAAAGTCTGTGAACATTCTAGCCAAATATCCTCTCTGATCCTGTATTTGATCATGTCTATAAACCCCTCTATTTCAGCCCGGCTCAGAACAGGCTATTTCTGTGTCTGTAGCTTTAAATGCAAATGAGCTGTGTCTGACCACGCTCCTCTTGCTTGGGCTTTCTTGCACCATGCCCAATTGTTTACCACAAGAAGGCAGACTCAGAGGACAGAACCAACACCTATAGTTATGGGAGTGTCACCCACTTGGGGGAGGGGTTACTTCTGATTGTGATGTCACTAAGGGGAAATCTTCAAACGGCCTGTTTGGGCACACATTTTTCTGAAAAGAGAAGAAGGCAAAAGACAGAGAGGATGGACTTTTGTCATAACTTGAGGGTTTGTAGACAGACTAGGGATAAATATTGTTGTTAGAAAAACAAGGTGAAGTGTATTTTGCATTATATGTTACCTTTTAAAAAGCTGATTCCTGAACTCAATGAATTTCAATGAACAAAATGTAAGAATGTTCACTTTACTTTTGAGCTGTAAGCCTTTTGCCAACTCTGCAACGCTCTTGACTGTTCTTGCACAAAGGCTTTAAACAGAGCTGAGGGTCTATTCCTGGCACTGATGAGCGTCTTTTTTGGCCCAGCGGTATATTAGTGTAAGCGACAAGCAGGAGGATCTTCAGATGCTGCATATTGGAAACAAGATTGTCTTTTTTATTCCATCTCTCTTCTCAGTTTGCTCCCTCTTCCTCTCCGGCTTCTCTCACATCACGGACTCATTATTCTGGAGCTGAAAATGTTGGAGATGTTTCTTTGTTGTTTGTCGGACTGTCTTGTCTCCCTTATATAGTCTCTCTCTAGCTTTCCTTGCCCTCAGCTCCTCTCTTGTGACAGTGATTCTAACCAAGCTGAACGTCTCACAACGTCAAAGTGAGAAACGAGCAAATTAAACAGGCGTTCAGATTAAACAGGGAGAAGCAGTGGGAATATCTAAGTTTCAGCGTGTACAGGGAGTCGTCCCTTTGCCTCACATCCCTCTTAAACTTGAATGTTTTGTCAGAAAAGATAACAGCGCACATTATTTTCCACACCACTGATGTGTGTACGAGTGCACAAGCTGTTCCCAGTTTGACATCTTATACTGTACGTGTGGCGGGGAAGAACTTAGATCATCTGAGAGCTTGTGCTGAACGTGCTTCTTGATGCCTTTGCCTGTATATATGTCTGTGTGGGTGTGAGAAAAGATGAGCGGCTCAACAGGGCTGCTTAGTGTGCATGCAAGCGACTCCCCTGCCACGTCCCATCCACAGCTCCTTTATCCCAGGAATAGTGGGGGTAATCATTTCCACGGATGCCTTTTCCATCAAAAGCACTTACGACAAAGCTAACATCAGCAAAGCAGTAGGGGGAAAATAAGTTGAAGGTGAGGAGGGTGGGGGTGGGGGTGGGGGGCAATAGAATCCCTGGGGGAGTGGACCAAGCGAATGTGGTTGTTCAGAAGACCGAGGCCATGTGTGTTTCAGAGAGTGTCAGATGATTATCAGGCAGACAGAGAGCCCAGATTCAAACGCACAGCTTGACTACACCCCCACAACCTCCACCACACACACACCACACACACACACACACACACACACACACACACACACACACACACACACACACACACACACACACACGCACACACACACACACACACACACACACACACACACACGCATCCCACTCCTAATTTGCTGTCTGCTGCAGCTCTCAGCGTCCACCGCCACAACCACTACCGCCATGCCATCCTCACTTAACTTAGTCCTCGGAAAAAGGAGGAATGAGTTGTTGGCAAGCTCCTCCAGACAGCCAAAGTAATCAGTAGTGTCTTATTCACCACAGTGGGAGAGGGACATGGAGAGAAATGGGGGAGCGAGGAGAATGAGAGAGCAGGAAGTGAGAGAGAGCGAGAGAAAGAAAGTCTTTCAGGACACAGGCCTGTGTTGTATGAATCACTCATGCCAATTTAAACATGTGCAGCTGTTCATAAAGAAAGGCAGAGAGTGTTAATGAACCGACTTAGCTCTGATCAGGAAAACAGGAAGAATTACCACATGGGACCTGTATTCAGCTGTATGACAGTGTGTCTGTGTGAGTGAGTGTGTGTGTGTGTGTGAGAGAGAGAGAGAGAGTTCCTGATTTGTTAGTGATGAGAGTAGGGGCGAGAGAGAGAGCAAGGGAGGGAGAGTGTGGAAGCTACATGACCCCATCGCTCAATAAAGATGATTTCTTCCCATAAATCAACCAGGAAGCAGAGGGAGGCAGAAAGTGAGTGATTCAGCTGTGGGAGTTCACTGGCTCAGACCTCGGCTGAAAAGCCAGGGAAACTAATCGTTTCCATTCACCTCGATGAGTCTGGCTGCTCTTGTCCGTGGTCCTGAATGCAAAGACTTCTCTGCCCCCCTGAACACCCTCCCTCCCGCTCTGAATGATCAATGCAGCCTGTCCTGTATCAGTACCTGACACGGTTGTTATTCTATCACAGAGAATCAGACGTGGCAGCATTTCATGGGCACCTGGACACTTCTCATAAATCTTGCAAGGCAGAGGTGAGCTGCAGAGGAAGCAGAGCTGTTTGTGTGACAGAACAGCGAAGAAGTGTTACTCAAAAGCCTTATATCATCTAAGGAGAGATATGGACAAAACACAGAGGTCTTAAGGGGCTAAAACTCAGAGCTCCATTGCGATTAGAGGCAGCTCTATGTTTTCTGTCAGAAGAATGAAATTGAAAGTGTCACATAATCTCTGTACTTATCATCAAAATGAATAAGCGCCAGCAATCAATAGACTTGCTGAAGGGGTAAAGTGCATCCTTTTTTTTCTCCACTTGTCGGTGCAGGATTTAAATAATGCTCTCATATGTTTCACAGTAATGAGTTAAATTGAGCCTGACTCTGCTGCTCTTCAATAATTCAGATCCAACCTGAGACATGAAACGATATTCTGAATCTGCAATCAGGATTCATCCCCACAATACTACAACTCTACAATTCATTAAGCAGGCGCTTTTGTCCAAAGTGATGTAAATCTGAGAGTAAGTATAACACGAGCAAGGATCTAGAGAGGGGGGAAACCAAGTGCTAACAAACAGCTTATAGTCCGATCAGACACAGGCGCTGACAGACAGTGCAATTTCTTTTAATATATCTTCATCATCATTAACAACATTGACCGCTTCTTCACCATCCTAAATATCATCCTCATCATCATCGTCAGGCCCATCAATCTCATGAAGTGCATAGGTGTTCATAAAAGAGCTGGGTCTTTCATTCCTACAGTCGGTTGTTTTTGATTACATTTTTCAGACTAGATTTTCTCTTTATTCATACTGAAAACAATATTACAGAGAGAACTACATCCTTTCTTTACATGGCTCACACATACACATGCAGCACACACTCACAGTACGGGCACACAGGAGTGCATCAGGTGCCTC